TGCGAAAATGCAATACACATCTCCCGGCGAGTGCGCCTGCAACATGCGACGAAACATACGGAATTTTCAGATCACACCATTGCACCATCGGTTGTTCCACCGAGTTGTGCCTTGCAGCACTCTTTCTCCAAATAACCCCAGCGAATTGAACGACAAACCCAGCGAACTCAAAGTCATGCGGGGGCACGACGCCCTGCAAACTAGCCGAGCGCAAACCTTGAGGGTCTGCTCGAAACTCTTGTAAGTACGAAACCCTCTCCACCCCCCCACCCCACCCCTCAGGCTCCATGATCAGCCTAAAACACGCGCTCGAGAATCACGACAATGCCTCCGCAATGGCCGCTGGTATGGCTTCGTCTCCCGGCCACACCGCGCGGCACGCCTGCGTGAAGCAGTCCCTCCTCGTGATTTGAACGCCACGACCCCTCGCGTTGAGGCGGGTGCTCACGTCGAACGAAGCCTGCACGTTGCGGGGGAAAAAACGACGACGTAGGCTTGTTTTTTTAGAGCGTGCACTCCAGTCTTTCGTGGGAAAATGGAGAGCCAACAAACGTTACGTGGCATGCAGTATCTGTGAGAGACAGACGTTCACGCAATGGGGCGGCGCGTGCGTCTTTTTCTCCGTTCGGACTACTAACCGCCCGTTCGGATTACAAAACCTAACTTCGGACAAGACAGAAAATTATGCTCGGCCTCCCCAGTACATCGTTACCCCTACTGCTGTCTAATGCGGGGAGTACAAAGCTGCGGGCTGCCAGCCTATTCGTACGAAATGGGAGAGTCTCCAACCTAACTGATACGGAAGATAACACCATATCTGTCTCAAAAGGGGAGTCGACGCGCTGGGCGCCGCTTGTCTTTCCAGAGCATTTGCTGAGCATTGCGGAGGTTCATAGGGATAGGGTTGCTGTAAACGCGTCTTTCAGGTCTCCCATCCCTCTTTCCTGTCTACTTCGTGTGGTGATATGATCTGTCTGGCAGCTGCTTGATCCGCAGGCTCGAAAAACACACGCACGTTAGTCCAGGTTGAAGTTTGTGGGCCTAGTGTACTGTTGTAGCACTCTTACAAGCCACCATGTCAAACAAAGCTGAACGTGAAGCACACCTATAATACACGAGGTGCAACGCGCACAGCAGGTGCACAACCGATCTGGGTCAGCAGCCCATCATTTGTGGGGTTGCCAAATATCAATTGTACTATACTTACTTGATTCCTCAGACGCTTCGCTGTGACCTGCCCCCCCGAGCTCCTCTCGGCTGCCTTTGCGAAATCTACATCCCCGATCCAGCGGGAGTGGTGGTACCCGCAGAGTCCGGGGTGCTGCTGAGCTGCGGTCCTCCTTATGTCTGGGAGGGGCTGGGGCTCGTTGTCCCCGTGGCAGCAGAACCGCTTCCCAACCGCCCTGGCTGCAGCAGATGTCGCCTCGGGCAGGAGCTGGGGTGTTGTGTCCGCGATGAGAACCAGCTCGTCCCACACAACTAGGGGAGCATTCACTGGGTCCCACTCAGCCGCTTTGGCCTCCCAGAACTGAGCGATGTCCTCTGGGTCCATGGTGGTGATGTTGGTACTGCTGTACTGCTGTTGTTGCTGCTGTTGTGCTGGCAGGCTGTGGCGGAGTGACAAAGTGTCAAAAAGAGACACCCGCCCCCGTGCCTTCGCGTTTTTGAGAGGGTTTTCGTGACTACAGGCACGATAGGAGGCATGATAAAACCTGTCTTTATCTGGCACGATAAAGCATGCTCTCGCTGTTGACTTGTGTGCCTTCTTCCTTGCCTTCGGAATGTGGTTGCAGAACTGAAGGCCAAGCTTACGAGGCCTCTCCCCGAGTTCTCCTGCGCGAGTGTGTGTTCGAGTGTATTCCTTGTCCGTCTTCAACCAACCGCCACCACAAGGCATAGTTTATCTCTCGCGCGGCTCGTGCTTGCTGCTGCTGCTGCGGCGGGCTGCTGCTGCTGCTGCTGGTGCTTTTTCATTTCGTTTCGCATGCATGCATCCAACAAACAAACCGCGTGCGTGTGTGCTTCTTGTCTCCGCTGGATTTACCACCCAACCAAGTGGCATTAGAGGCGGTGCCATGCCTTGCGCCAGTGTGCTGCATCGGCGGCGGGGTAGAACTGCTGTGCATGCGATGTATCTCTACTGCTGCTGCTGTATCCATGTAGACTATCACCATGTAATCGTGTTTGGGGTAAAGAAATACGGTGCCCTCTCCTCTCTCTCTCCTCCGGTTTCCGACAGCACCTACATACAGCAGTACAGCAGTCAGTGTAGTTATCGGTCACTCATCACATTCTTCACGTGAGGGTTACGCTGCTGTTGGGCACTAAACCTTTGTGGCACCATGGGGTGCGTGCGGTTGACCCATGTGGGAACCTGTTGGTGCGCAAACGTGCAAACGTTCAAGTGCGGGTGTCGTGTGTGTGTGTCTCATGACTCATCGGTCTATTCGGTCCCGGCAGAACAAAAAAAAACGCGGAAGATCCAGAAAGAACCCAGTCACGAAAGGGTTAACAAATAATTCGAATGCTGTCGGTCTCCACTCCGCCATCTCGTATGCCAGTGTGTGGTGAAAATGCATGAGAGAGCAGCACAGTGTTGTGACATCAAGGGGGCGATGCAAGAAAAGTAGCCCCTGTCAGCAACGCTCTGCCAAGCGGCGACGTGTCCCCACAGCTTCATTCAATAGATCTCACATGACGCCATTTGCGTTCACTCGAAGAGCCCACGGCTAACCTAACGACCAAAAGAATACATCTCTAGATGCAGTCTTAGGTACAGTACCTGCCTATCGGTGTGCATCATTCACGAGGGGTGTCACGCTGCGTACTACGCACGGGCCGGATCTTTTTCTCCTTCTCTCTGTCTGCTCCCCGCTTCCCGCTTTCCGGCTCTTCTGTGCCTGTTCAAGTGAATAGTTCGGCCGCCGTCTGTTCGGCCTCACCTTTGCTCTTGGTCTGTTCGGCCATCTGTTTGGGAAGGAATACGTCATGGGCGAGAACAAAAAACGTCAGCGCTTCCGCCAATAGCGTGATGAATCCTCTCCATTCTCCATTCACAACAACCAACAAACACTGTTGGTTGTTGTTTTAGAAGCGCGATGGCCACTTAGATATAGTAGACCACAAGTCAGCCAAGTTTTAGTTGAGAAGCACGATTACCATTAGATAGACCTTTGGCCAATCTCGTGGTCATCGTGCTTCTCAACAACAACCACTCACACGGACGTCCTTGTCATCAGAGAGAGAGAGGATGTGGGCTCTGCACGTTTTTCTTTCGATCGATGGTGCCGCCAACCTCGCCAAGAAGACGAGTGAGCCTGGTCGGTCACATCAAGACGGCCTGCTGGGGGAGGAGCGTGCGGTGTGGCGGGAATACGAGATAAGTGCTTCTAAACGTGTAGACTGCTCCTGGGTAACCGTGTTTGGTTGGTCGGTTCGCTCGATCGAGCGGTTTTATTTGTCAGCACATATGCATGCACATCTCCCTACACGTTGTTGTTTGCGGCGGTAGCCTCATGTTGAAGCATGCGATAACAACTGATTCGCAGTAGTTGGTCGTACGTACCCACAGAGAAGCAGCTCCAAACACCGCAAGGATGTGCATAAAGTAGGTATGTAGAGCAACGAGAGCGGCAGCATCATCGGCGGCGCCTGTCCGTTTGGTGTGCAGACTCTACAGCCTGGGGGGGGAGGTTGGGAGGCCGAGTTCATCCTTGAACCCATTTTTTCTTTCGGCTTGCTGTTCGCTGTGTTGGTTGGAATAACGCCACTCTCCGAGATGCGGGAAAATATGCACACTGTGGGCGGCAACCTCCCTACGACCTGCCCCCCCCAGGTTGTGATCGGTGCCCCAACCTATCCACAACCTGCCTCTGGCCACCGGTGTTATCTGCAGATAGATATCTCCAAGCTGCAGAGCACCAGGCAGAGGTTGGTTGCGTTCTTTTCCCCATTGATGTCCATATTTAAATTTCTACAGCGCACAGCAGCAGCGGCGATGGGCACAACACGCGCTGCGTGCCGGCTCCCTCTGAAACATGTCGATAGCCCACTACAGCCCCGCCATCGGATGCAACCCCCGACTTTTCGGTTGTACTCTCTAATTAGTACGCCGACATAGAGGCATTCCTTTATGTCGTAGATGCTAATAGGCAGTACAAGCGAAACGTCGCGGGTTTTTCCGTATGACATGGCTGTAGCGAGCTATCGAGACGTTTAGGGAGAGACCTGCAAGTAGTTATAATGGTAGACGGTGCAACCGCAGCGAATGACTGACGCTGTTCCTAACCATCCTCGTTTAGTCCTCGTCTACTCGTTGTATGGACGATACTACTTGCCACAATGTAGAAGATCTTCGAATCTGAACGGGTTTTTTTCACTTTTGTGGGGTAGACTACATCTGCATATGATGTAATGTGCATACATCGTGGAAGTAGAAATATCACTCGCACAAACTCGTACCCTAGTTAATTGCTTGGTAAAGATTTGAAAGAATGCTCCCTTTTCTTTTCTTACCATAACACAATGAATTCATCTCTACATTTATTTAAAACGATTAATTAAATCAAACACCCCCACAACATACATATTCCAACAACAGCAGTAGTAGTATTCTCCACAGATAATAGTAATTTGAGCCCCGGATAAAATAGCAGTGGGTCCATAGGCTTAGTGGAAGTGCTACCTACGTGTACCTTTGTTTTCTTCTGCTTTTTGCATTTGCTTCGGGAACCCCTTTCATTGTACTGTATAAGAAGTAGTGAGCGGGGTGTCTATCCGAAAGAGATCCAGTTTCTTCCCCGAATCTTGATTTCTACACCCAGGGCACACAGCAGCAGACCGGCTGGTTGCACGCATTGAAACGTAGCCCGGGCCTAGGAAAACCCGGCATATCGCTCCGTCCCGGCATTGCAGGGATGCGAGGTCCCAGGAGTAAGTAGTGACTAAGGCATACGTTCGCATGATGAATGTGCGTGTCTGGCGGTGTCCACTCCGGGCATCGCGTGCATCGTTATCATAGGACTGCGGGTCGAGGCGGCCTCTTCGACGATGCCGATGAAGCGTTGACCCACCGTCTGCTGCTTTCAAGATGGGGGACGCCCTCGGCGCCAGAAACGTCTACATGGCGGTGCTTCGGAGGACCGGCGAGAAGCACATCGAGGTGCGCTTGCTGTAGCTGCTGCTGCTTGCTGTCCCTGTTGATGCTGCGGCTCCCGGCGGTGCTTCTGCACCCTCCCGCTAATGATGGTGGTGACGCCAAACTGATTATGATAATTATGATTCTGCTTTAATTTTGCCTTGTTTTGGTGGTGCTCTTCGTGTTGGCGTGGTCGCCTGCCGATTGGTATTGTTTGGCGCATGTACGTGGCAACACACGCCCTGTTTGTACAACACACGCACGCACCGACGGATGATTGGGCGGACCCTCGACGGAAATGCTTGCGGCCGACCGGCGTGCTGGCGGTCTCCCTCTCATGCCCAACCCTGCTCACGTCATTTTTTGCTTCGTTGCTGTTCGCAGTCGCTGGTGGGCTACGGACGCCTCGCGCTCATGTCCAACCAGGCGGACAAGGGTGTATCTTCGTTGCTCAGGGCTATCATGACGGCCCAGGTATTTTAAAGTTGTGCGATGTCTGCTGGCCTGCCAGTGTTTAATTGGATCCCTTCATGTTTCAAGGTTGAGTTTACTACAACATACAATACCGTAGTAGTACGTACTACTGCTGAAGCTTCTTCTGCGTGGACACCGCGCAAGTGTAGATCCCCGATCGGGTAGTCTTACACGGCCACCCTCTTCGACCATTCATCTTCGGTAGCCTTCACGCTTGAAAGCTTCTCGTTCGCCCACTTTCGACCTTCAAATATTCCTACGCCAGCTGCGATATGAGCTGACTGCCCTTCCTTGACGTGCGGCTTTCAGGCCATCTCAGGACTATTTTGTCATTTCACTCACAGAAAAAAAAAATGATGGATTTTGTTCCGGCTGGCGGCGGGTGTGTGTTTGTTATTTGCATCGACCGCGCTGACCGGCTGACCATGAAAAGACGTCAGTCTTAGTGCGATTGAAAACACACGTACTTCAAAAGGCCACGACCTGGGACCGCGTGAGCGGGCGTCATAGGGGACGTGTGTTTGTTTGTGGTTCTTCGTTTTGGGAACGAATTGGTGATAGAATGAATTTGGAAACCCCGCGGCAAGATATTTTAGTGTTCGATCTTCCCAGTAAGGTAATCTTGTTTGGCACCGAAAGTCTAGAGATCTTGTTGTGAAAATGAGGGACTTGTTTCGAAAGGCGTTGGGAGATTGTAGCCTTTCATGGAGGTGATTCCCACAATACCCCTCCTTTTTCGAGTCTTGACTACTGTAGGCAAGGAGGCTTCTTACGGTAGCCGGAACCCGACCGGCTGGCAGCGATTCGATTCACTTCTTCACAATCAATCCTCTGTGCGTGATTTCACGGGTTCGTTACATGCGTCCGCCACGCCACCTTAGAAGTTCCACCACGAGTTCGAACATTTGTTTTGGTCCCCCAACATTTCCCCCCCATTTTTTGGAAGTAATGATGGCTGGTGGCGGATTCGAACCCGAGTGTTGTTCCACCAAAAGCAGACATGTGCTTGTCGACGGCAAATAAATGTGAAGCGAGTTCGTCCTCGACATACGTTGGGGGATTGTATGCTAGCCTTTATGGAGATGATCTCCACATTCTAGGAAATTAATTTCCTCTCCATGCGTTCCCCACTACAGTCTACCAGCATGTATGTTCATTCATGGATCTTCCCATTGGCTGCTGTACAGGTAGAACTACACATCACTTTATTGTTGTTCTTGTTTTGCATACTGGTATTTTGAGAAATACACGGGTCTGTACATGTATAGATAGGTTTTCCATCTTCTCTAGGGGCCACATTCCTATGCGAAGCATGAAAGAAATCCTTACAGGGTTGTTTGTCTTCATGGTGCTCTGGACTTCAAGCCCTTTCCGCGCCCGAAAAAACAGAACGATAAATAAAATTTCCTGTGTCGTATGTATGTAGACTGCGTGACCAGACCCCCTTGCTAAGTGCCTTCTTCCCCTCCCCGTACCCATATATCTCCCGTTCCTTCTACCAGATGCCATGGTGTGGTGCCGTCTGGACCCATGACGTGCAGCCTGCCGCTGATTCTACTGCTGCGGGGGAAGCTACATACGCCGCTCCTGCTGATTCTGCTGTTACAATCGCTACTGAAGGCGGAGATATCCCGCGTCGCTGAACTTCACGTGTCTGTCGATTTGAGCTCTATCCCATGTGGAGGCTTTTCGTTCGGGGGCTAGGCATGCAGTAGGCGCGTCTGATGGTCTTGGTGTTTCACGAGAATTGAGTTGATCTGTTTAATGCTTTCCGTTCCGTGTGTGAGCGAAGTGTTACAGGGTGTGGTGTCCACTCGCCCTGTCCAAGTTACGTAAATTGCACTGCTTTAGTACAGGCAGGTATTGCTGCCTGGCAGAGACACGCCGGGATCGGTTTCAGTATTGAGACGTACAGGTATAGATTGACTTAGTGTTGCCGTCTTTACGCCTTAACACGCGGGAGGCGGTTATCATTTTATTTTTATATAACCGGCTTGCGGTAGATAACTTGCATTTTTTTTCTTGCGTTGTGCTATTACTAGAGTGCCACGCGTCTTTGTTGGTTGCTTTAATAGCATTGACCGCGCTAACCGGATGATGACCGATGAAAAATGTCGTGTGCATATGGGTCCACCTGTGTAGGCGCGTAGGGATGTACAATACATACAGAGATGATATCTGTTTTCCCCTTTTGGACGTGGCATTTTTTGGGTCTCGGCCACCTATGTATCGTCGTGAAAGACGTTCATAGGATTCATTTATGCCGCAATTTGTTCCAAATCTGTACGCACAGTTTCTTCGGGTCAGACGATAAAGTATCCCTGTTTTTGGCCCAAATCGCATATACTGTGTTCGTACAATAATGCCTTGGGCGAAGTACAGACTCCAAACAGGCAGGGTCGTGAGAGAGGGTGCCTGCAACTACAGGGTCCCTGATTGACATGGGGTGGTGGTGTGGTGAGTCGTGACTGGGAGTCTGATTGCTGATCGGGATGCATGCACTTCATTTCGTTCCTCGAAACTGCTTGCTTTCTTCCAGTCTCGAGCGGTTGTTGTTTAGTGCCACCGGTTTGGGACCTTTCTTGAGGATCGGAGAACTTCGATAGCACCACCTTCTTCGTGTATCAATGGATTCCTCTTCGCATGCTTCCATGCTGCGGACGGCTCTCCTGGAATGCTTCCAGAGTGAATTGCACCCCTCTCGACAAAAAGCACGTCATAATCTCTGGGTTGTTGTTGGTGCCCTACATGCATCTGTCTTTCGTCCGACTTGTGCCTCTCGGCAAAATTGTTTTGGACGTTTTTTTCGAGAGGAACCGTAGGCGCGTTAAACCAGTTACCGCAGCACGTCGGGTACAATCTCAAAACCTGCGTGCTGGGACACCTATTCTGCTTCCCGCTGTTCAAACTCCAGCTGCAGCCGACGACGCCCTGGGGATAACGCTTACCCTGGCTATTCTTTGACGTGGCCGTGGAGTTCTGATTGTTGATCATTCTTCGTCCTGTTTGATCATCGGCGTGCACTTTTCTAACGCTGCCTTATCTTGTGACAATTCCCGTTGACATCGCCCCCCATCATGAGACCCTAACCCCCTTCACAAAACAAGCAAGTATTTCCCCGCTGAAGCCCACAGCACGGCTAGGAGACCTGGGGGCACTTTTTTTCCTTTTTGTTTGGTCTCCACTTGACTCTTCTATGTGGATCACTCCGGAAGGTCATGTTTTCCCTACCTCCTGTTTTGGTCGACGGTATGTTTGTACACGGAAAATGCCTAGGAAATTCCTTGTCCTGCGACATTTTTGTTGCTGTTGATGATTTTTTTGGCCGGTCTCGTCGGCGTTTGTCGTTGGAGATGCTTGTGTCGCTGTATGTTCATGTTTGAACCCTACCTAAAAGCATAGTAAGTCTGCCGGAGAGCGCAACGCCAGAATGCCACACGGCACCGTCAACCTCACCACGCTTCCAACCTATGCTATTCTTGCCCGATGATACGTGATACAAACCGTTTTCGACACTATTATTGCCGTAACCTAAACCACAAGCAACGTCTGTTGTCCGCTTTAGACAACCCGTACACGGACAAACCGCTGCCGTGACGACGAAAAATGTGAATGAATGCATCCAAGGAATGCTTTAACTCCCGACAGAGCAAAGATAGAACAACACCCCCGGAGGCTTTTCTCTCCGGCGTTAGTTTTTTTTATTTTTGGAACCATCACCCCCATCCCTCTCAGAAAGTTTTTTCTTGCCCATGCAAGGGGTGTAGGCACCCCAGGTGTATTAGCAAAAGGTGACCTCAGCATGTGAGTTCTGGATTGAACAGCAAAGGGATCGTAGACCAGTCAGCGGTCGACGAAACTGTGTATGACATATCAAGTCATGACCAAGGGTGGTCGTTCCCGGATCTCTTCCCTTAAGGTGTAGCCCTAATGGGGCCAGCCGAACCCTGAACCCGGTGTATTTTCTGTCACGTTCCCTCCTAGGACTTGCTCGCTGCTCGCTCTAGACCTTCGCCATCGGCCGCTCGAGACTATTATCGTCGACGTGTCCCTTGTCCTGTCGTTCTCCACCGTCAGAACGAGCCTTGGAGTCGTCAGCGTCAGTAACCGAGGCACCATCACCCTTGCTCCCCGTTTTTCGGGTCTTGGTCTTTTTTGTCTTTTCCTTGGCTTTACCCTTGTCGTTCTCCTCTTGAGTGCCCTCTTCTCGCCCGCAGGACCGGCCCTTCGATTTCGATCTCGACCTCGATCGCATGGAATCTGCCACACCCTGTCGGGACGTCGCAAAAAATCGCGTTCATTCATCGACGAGACGGCAGGAACGTCATGCATCGCAACGCCAACACAGACCGTCACGAGCCAACTCTGCCTCGTACGCATGCCGCTTGTTGGATCACAGAGACGCTCAAAGTGGTGTTGTGCTAGAACTGAGATTGCCAGCATGGACTAAACGTGGTAATTCAAGAACAGAAACGGGTGTACAGTGCCCCCAGAATTACTGTTACTACTTCCCTCACCTGTCGTAGTTTGGAGACGTCTTCCGACATGTCTTTGGCGAAGCCCTCTAGATCTCCGAGGTTAGCTGCTCCCAAATCCTCCGCCTGTGCGGACAACTTGCGTAGCGCCTGCGGAATAGTGTTCAATGCGGTGGTGTTTGATGTTGTTGATGCTGATGTTGTTGTTTTTGCCACGCCTAGCATATCGGAGGCTTGTTCCCATTGAACCATCTACCACCGCCACATACGGCTATCTCAGGTGTGGCTGAAGACGTATGCATACTCAGATCAACCTTCCGCAACACCGAACCGTGCGTTCACCGTACTAGTGCGAGTGAGAAACTCGAAGCACGTCTAGTGCAGACTGTCATCACCTCGGCGAATTTTGACTCCGCTTTCTCTACCCAGGTCATCAGGCGCTTCAGTTCCCGGCCCCTGCGGTTACAGCCACATTGGGTCATTCTGCTGGGTTATTTCCTCAGTACGGTCGCCCCTCGCTAAAAGATACCATTTATAAGGACACCCCCCGTAAGGATATCTTCTTTTCCCGGTCGCGGTGTCCCTCGAGATGTACAACATAATGGGGGGTATCAATCCTAAGGACACTTGCTCGGCTTAAGGGCAACTGCTGTTTTACCGAAAAATCATGTGTGTCCTTAACTGAGAGACGGCTGTACACGGATCGGCGAAACGTCGCAACTCGGGACGCTCAAGACTATTCAGGGGCACCACTAGGTTACGACCATCACAACGAACAGGCGGCACGCGCTGAACACAATTGTGAGCAGAAGGTATCATGCAGCACACGCTTCGGAGGCCGTGTTGCAGCACGACAAGACTCGCACCCGTGCCTACGATTCGCGTTTCGTGCAACAATGTGGCAGACGGACACGTGGCACGTGGTAAAGGAGCATCGTCTACAGACTTTCAGCTCTAATCCCTCTGCTACAGCATGTATGCTCACAACTTGTTCAACAGCTGGGCGACATCCCATGGGTACAGCGTCCCATGGGTACCTAACACCTGTCCTGGGGAGGTGTTGTTTGACTCTCGCGCCTATTGGTTCAAACTACAGTAGCATTGAGCATGCATCCAGCCCTTCAAACAGAAGGAAGGCTATGGTTCATGGTAGCGCACGCGGAAACCCGCGGCTACACCCGGAGAAAATCTTGAGGCTCCATTAAGAGTGGCATGCCGCTTACCTGCGCTCTGCGTTAGCCTCGGCCGCTTCAGTCCTGGTCTCGTAAACGTCTCTGTCCGACTTTAGGACTCGCGTGAACGACTTCCGCTGGAGCTGTAGCTCCTTGTCCAGCTTTTTTGTCGGATAAGGTGCGATGACAGCATGCCGGGCGAGAAGGGGGTTTGATTGTGGTCGTGTTTGATGATTGTGGTCGTGTTTGAAGGCTTTTTTCGGTGGCTGCGGACACAAGGCTGACAGCGAGCGGTGTAAAAATGAATGTGGTAGCTATGACGCGTGTGTGTTGCAACTCCTCCAAGTATATATTCCCGAGATACTCCCATGGCTTTGTATCCAGCCAACGGGTACATCGACAAAGGTCATGCGGTCGACGATAAAACTGTACTCTTCGCTTGAACATGGGAGGCAACAATCGTAAGGAGGAGGGGGCAGTGTTCTATGGCCATCGAGTTTACCTCCACTGCTCTGGTGTTTGAGGTCGCGATGGATTTCTCGAGGCGTTGGACCTTCCCGTCGTGTGACTTCCTTTCTCGCTTTGCCTTCTCCAAGAGGTTGTACAACAGCCGCACGTCGCCCTCCAGCTGGACTTTGCTTCGGTCATTCTCCACCATGTCCGCCTTTGCTTGCTGCCTCGGGTGGTTTCGAGTTGGACAAATGGCCATGTTGGTAATTGGGGGCGGAGAACATGCAATCACATGTCTAAATGAAAGGATCGTTGAACGTATCCAAATGCCCCCGAAGATGAAAAAAAAAGTAAGCGTGCTTGTCCACCTCAGTGCTGTTCATGGTGCCCGAAAGAACGTAGGCGACAGCACGCCAATGCGGGAGACGTAACACTGCTGTTGCCGGGTCTTGAACGCACTGTTTTCGACCTTTGATGGAGGTTGCACAGAGAACTCCTGGGGTCACGGGATACCTTTGCAAATTTTGAGGAATCCGGCCCACTCGTGCCCCCAACAACCGAGATCCAGCTGTCCGTCGGCGAGAACCCGCTGCAAACGGAGAGAGGTGACTTTCGCAGAGTAATGGTAATAGGAAAAGCCTTCGCTGGCACCCATGGAACTGTTCGCCAGGCTTGGAAATTCCAACCAATAGTCACCGATACACCGCAAAGATACAGCCTGATATCCACAATGAACATTGTCCTTTCCACGATGGACATTTGCAGAGTAAACATCCTCTTTGCTCTCGATACATGCCTTCAGGTAAAATGCTTACTTTTTGGGTGAAAGCTGTACAAAACAAATACGTACACATTTGCTTGGCGTTGCACTCATAAGATGGAGAAGTGAAGTGGCCTCTCGTGTGTTCCACGTTTGTCCATCCTCTGTATTCTGGACTCCGCACCTAGTCTAAACATCTATGAAAACATTTGGTGAGCCGGAACCGAGATCATACTCTCTGAAGAACTTCCTCCCGTGGTTCACGCCCTCACTGTCCACCCCTTGGGAGAGGCCCAGAAATCCCGTTGTCAACACCGGAATAGGGTTGCCTGTATTGATGCGCAAACGTTATCTCAACGCAAGCACTCTCTCAACAGCAGAGTGGCGGGTGGCATTTCAATCCGAACTTAGACCCTCCAGAATTACAAGGGTATCTCCCGACCACAGGCGCGAACCGCACTACTGTACAACGAAAAACAACAACATTTGTCGAGACAACTGTCTCGTTGGTGCAACTCACGTGAAGCCATTGAAGGATGCCATGAAGGTGGCGGACCTCGAGAGGGGCAGCACCTTCTGCGAACCTCTGCTGCTGCTGCTGCTCATGGACGTCTGTCTCCTGCGAATGCCCATGATGCAACTGCTGGGCCATCTGTTTTACCTGGTACGCCTGCAGGTTAGCACTCTCCTCCGCTCTCTGAACCTTGTCTTCCAGCCTTCCAAGGTGTCTTCTCAGCGTGTCATTTTCTAGCCGGAGGGCATCGAGCTCGGTCCTTTCGTCCGAATCTGTTGCGAAGGTGCGGAAGAGGCAACACAGTCACCGCGCACGCAAGTGAAAGCTAGGACTCGCTGTTCCGTAGCAAGACATTGGCAGCTGAACCTTGACGACGAAGCGCAGACGTCGCATAAATGCCGAAGTTCTACGCCACGTTTGTGCTACAGAGAAAAATAGGGGCAACACTGTCATAGCACGAGGCAGCATGGCGTCGTACTTGAAAATATTCACACCATCGCTGAAAGACTACCCGTCCTCTAGCGTATTGCACAAGTAGATTTATACTGTGCAATGCACGGAATGAACTTGTGTCTTACGGAGATCAAGCTACATCGTCTAGGTACATGTAATGCATGGGCCATGGAAATGCCACTTCTCCGTCTGCACCGATAGATTCCAAGACAACACAGAGAACGTCAAAGGATGGAGATCCACCGTACAAGAGGCGTTGTTGGGGCGGTGTTCCCAACAGTGTTCACTGTACACACCAAGCACCAAACGCCAAACCACACCCTTAACAGGTTCAAGGACCAAAGTAAGCGAGTTGCAGTCCAGCAACACATCCAAGGTTAGTTGAAAGCATGGGGCTTTTCTTGGAGGGAACCCTTGGCTCCAACGTACAGCAATATCATACAATGTAACAGCGACATCCTTGGAGGGGGGTTTCATTCGTGGGGTCCACCGGGCAACACGAGCGTAACAATCCACATCGCAGAGCTACTGCTAGTGAAGCCAGGCGCGCGCGTTACCTATTGTATCTGGCGGCGGCGACATCTCGAGGTGTACCAGGCGGCGAATTTTCAGGTCGGTTGTACGCCCCGTTGCCAAGCCCGTTGCGACCCCCTTCACCCCTTGATCGTCTCCAACGTGAACGACCCGCGTTTTCTCTCCAGTCTTGAGTCTCTGTCGCAGGTGGGGACGAGATGTTCCGCTGGTCTCCCTGTCCCCTGTCTGCCTGTCCCAGGAATCAAGAGTCCCAGGTTCCACTCCGCGGCGGAACCTGCCGGGTGCCGGTTGACAGTGCCGATTCGGCAACGGTTTTCATGAGTGTCAAGTTGAGCCGCATCAATCTACAAGCAGTAGTCTTCGCAGTTGGAAGAAAGTCTGGTCGTATCCGCCCACACGCTGCCCTGCCTTCCAAAAAGGACGCATACACACAAAGTTTATTTCTGAATTTGAGGAACTGTGCTTAGCTTGGAGCAAGGGTGCCAAGACGCTTGAATCTCAGCCTTCGCAGGATGGCGTCGTTGAGGTCGGCAATGTTTGCCGGCTACAACAAGTTCGACGATGCCAAAGTTCGAATCGGGTCCTGGCGTGAGGAGCTGGCCATGAAAGAGCTCACAGGGGTGACTCGCCTCGCGAACCCGCGGAATAGAGCTGTTTTCAACGCAACTGATGTAAGGTGAGACGGAAAGATTTTCGCCTCCGAACGACCTGCGCAAGTGCCAAGGTCATTGGTCTACGTAAACCCCCAGCAGTACTTGTACGGGCTTTGCATATTGTAGTCTAAAGACTTGTGTTTGCCTGCGTCCAAAGCTCACATAGCCAGGGGGCACTCTCTCCAGTCACCACTTTTATTCATTCTTCATGTATCTACAGTAGCCACTACGCCCTAGAGTAGCAATCACGCTATTAGCTAGCGCTGCCCCTCCATGGGGTTGGAATTACTACGTGTGTCGCACAAGTCGCCTTATCCCTCATAGCGCCCGGATGGAAGAGAGTATGGGAGCCCTCTCGAAGTTACCCGTACGCTACCTGCTCACCAACTGGCGATTCCGTTTTTGTTTCCTCCAGCGCAATTGATCATGAAGACCTGTCGAGAATCATGCCGCCCCAAACATACATGCACGAATTCATGCATATTCTAGAAACGTGTTGTCTCGCTACAATAGCTACCGAAGAGCAAACACGAAGTGGCGGAGCGCCTGCACAACTATGACACTTGATATTTAACACTCTTTACTACAGAAAGTCGAGGATCAAGGTCCGACGCTCAGTTTACATTTTTTATGCAGGGTGCTGTATCATGCAGACAAGCCGGGCGCCAAGGACGCTGGCAGGGGAAAAAGCGAATCGCATACCTCTTACATTCATCCGGAGAAGGTGAGCTTGTAAAGTAGCTCGTTCATCAAACCACTGTTCCGCAGCGTCGAAAGGAAAGAACCTGCTACGCCTGAAATTGCCTGAAGTACACGGTACCAGCAGGAGTGGATCAGAGTGCACCACTTTCAAGTCTCAAGGAGAGTTAGTTCTGAAACAACTGTGCAATATTGGTATGGTTTCGGATTGGACACTCTTATCGACCACCATGCGGTTGGCGCATTGTCTATTCTCGTTGACGTCCTACTTGATTGCAGGTTGCTGCGACGAAGGAAAGGTCGGCATACATCAGGCCAGGGCCTCGTGCGGTACGTTCGCGACAAGCAGCAAAGTGAGTGAATGGCATCGTAAATTTTCTGTAAATGGCCAACATAGATGGTATGGACTGATGTAGCATTCTGTCGTTGTGTGCGTGGCTTTGGGCAGATGAACACCGATAGAACGTAAGCCCAAGCCACGTAGCAAAGGTTAGTTCGAGTGAGGTCGGAAACGCGAAAATCCGTTCCTTTCAACCTCAACTCTCTGATCCGGTGAATGCGGAGGCATACGTTACCGCCGTTCACAAAGGTAGCTCAACGGCGAGTTGAAGGTTGGCCGGTTAGATCACCAGACTTCATGCACGCCGAAAAGGTTGTCTAGATTTCGGCAAGAGGGATACCCTCTACGTAGTTCCTCGATCGCTTATCTTCCTGAAGGCATGCCCCATTCCCGCGTACACGCTACCGAATCGAAGAGCATGGCGGGTATTGAAGAAAATTCTGCGAAGATTATTTGAGTGGCGCTATGTTCTCTGCGCTCCGCATGGAGGAAAAGGAGACTATACCCAGCTCTGACAGCAGCCATCCAGGGCGATGGTCATCACAGAGATAAACAGCACTAGAGTTACCACGTGACGAGAACCAAACGTTCGCCTGACTTGCGACTTCGATTGTGTATCGTTCGGTGATGCATTCCTGCACCTGTTGGCAGAGAAATCGTCCAGGCGGAGGAAGCGGAACGCGAAGCCCTCGAGAGGGAGAAGAAGAAAGATGGGGATTTCGATACAACCTTCAGACAGGTATGCGCCCGTTGTGTGTGTAGCGTGCATATATATGCAAAGGTTTGCCGTGTGTGATATGGGCGCTGCAAAGCAGCTTTTCGGTATCAAGATCTTTTGAGATTGCTAACCCAAATGCCATCATAGGTCTATCGTGGCCATGCACAACAAGAGGTGGCTGCAGCGAGCGGCGGGAGGAAGCCTTTGTCATCCACGTGGCAAAACATGTAGAGCACCAATGATCAATCTACGCTTCGTTTTTCGTTGTAACAGTGTGACACAACCGCTGACATCCTCCTCCATGGTCGTGTACGATGCGCGTTCTATAAGAACAATCCAAACCACGAACAACAGAGAGGTTGGACAACACCAACACCCCCTTACACAAATTGACTGTCCTCGTCAGTCCTACAAGAGGTATTCGGACGAAGCATCAAGAGCAGCGAAGCAGGACAGCGTCAAGCCCCAGCCAGAGAACGCTCCGCAGGTGAGGTTTGGACCACATCTCAGCTACCTTCTTGTCGGGGCTTTGGAGATGCCTCTACTAGTCACTCTGGGTGTCGGCATGGTGACCCGTTTAGAGGTGAACATACTTAGCTGTCTGGCATCCTGCCTTAGGCAAATTCCTCGAAACGTAGGCGTCGATACCGCTGGGCAGCCTCTTCTTTTCTGGCCAAATTTCATGCCACATCAAACAAATTTCCACCGCTATATGTTTAGGTTCATCTCCGAATGGGTTCGAATAGGAGCTTACCACAGAGACACATGAATATCCAAGAAACTCGTTGTGCAGCGGAATTGACTCAGATGGTGTAATAGTCGAAGAATCGACCACTGACCTCACCAATTTTGTGTTTTCCATGAACTGTCGATTCCTAAAGTACAGGTCACCTCTATCCGCGCTCTGCGAACTACGATTTTATTAAGGTTGAAGTATGGTATTACTAGTTTGCTCCACCGCACGTGTACACGTAGCAGCGAGCGATGCCATATTAACCTAACTTCGAAAGAAAGCGATGGAATTCTTGAGCGCCCCCCACACGCCCTCCGTTTGTAGGTATAAACCCTGAAAGCTTGTTTGGTAGAGTTCGTAGGTGTGGTCCAGCTCAATCTCTTGCACCGTCCTGCAGGGAAATTGCCCCACAGACATCGTCAAACCCTAACATACCAGCTTTCTTGCAACCTGTTTGAAACAAAATACTTGTGATCTGGGCATATCGCGCGGGTGGTGCCAACGAAGGCACCTGCGCCTACCACCAAGGCCTTCAAGAACAGCATGAGAAGGAGTGGTGACGTGATGTCGGAGATTGGAGAGGTGGGTCACTACTCCACCGGGACGACGGTCACCCTGTGGAACACGGGAGGAATGGCGCCCGGGGGCACGGCAGATAGGGCCTCGTTCGGCCGTACGGTGGGTGCTCACTGAACGCCAAGGGAACAAAGGGAAATATATCTGTCTTGATGTTGAGAATTGCTTCCAAGTATTTGCCGAGTGGAACCGCTGCTCTTGACAATCTAAACGCTGTAGAACCGAAGAGCACCCCACATCGGGGGAAAAAATTGGACGGACGAAGAACGTAGCCATGGGGCATATCCACAATAGGTCCCCTTAGCCGCTGGGAGCCAGAGCAGCATCTCAACTGCTACTGCTGCTAGGGTACTTTAGTTGACGTGTCGTCATCATCACGAAGCGAAAAAAATCTTTGGACGCCGGCCGATCGACCATTGGACGGTGGTTGTGGGTAGAGAACTACAGCACACTGCAACACAAGAAACACCACAGCAACACGAGATGAAATCAGATCGTCTTACCCATGAACCTAACCCACTCTACAGTAGCTTCACGTGGTTTCTGGTTATCGATACGCCGGGAAGCGGCGGCGTTGCACACCACACCGTCTACACATTGGCGTTTCTTTACAAGGCGATGTTCGAACTCGTATGCTAGGACAAACTGGGCAAACGACAAGCCGAAAATGCAGGATTTCTTTCAATCGAGAGTCTGAGCGCCTCCCCCCCCCCCTGCGTGACGTCACATGCTTTGGCCAAACAACAGTCGAGGTTCACCGAACCCGGCGTCCACCCTTCGTTTTTCCAAGAGGTTTGGCGGGACCCTGGCCCTCATCATGCCTCTCTTCCCCGAGGCCTCAGTGACCTGGAAGCCCGGAGTTTGATGTTCCTCAAGAACCGGGTCATCGAGAGGGCACAGGAGAAGCCGCTGCCGTCAGTGCGCGGGTTGTGGCGCTTGCTGTGGTGGGTTTGCGTGAAATTATGATCGTGACGCTGTCCGTCGTGTTCAGTTGGTTCCTGATTGAGTTTGCGTTTGAGCGTTGCTAAAAATATTTTCTTCTCTGCAAGGTCGCAACCCTGCTCAACAATATTCGCCACAATCATTTTCAAATATATTACTGTTGCGTCCGACAACTACTACTTGGTACGAAGTCTTGTCTCTGCAACTGGGGTCCCCCGGGAATCGTTCCCGGGGTCACACCGACAAATCCTTCACCGTTGCAATTCCTTAACTCCAGTGTCCTCGAGCCCACCTGCACTCCGATGCACGAAAGAGAGAAAACCAAAGCATCTCTATGTTGTGCGTGATGGATCTCCCGAGCTACCGGTAGTGAGAAGACGGGTTCGAGGTTACCGACTACTATAGGCCATCGAGGCCGCCGAGAATGGCCTTCTTAGAAAGCTAATCTCGAAGCGTCTGGACAATGAATTCCAGGGGTGTTAAATCGCACATAAAAGCGATATATGTCACCAATTATGTTGTTGAGAATAAACGAAGTTCTACATGCAATGGAGGCGGAGGGTCGCTGTGCACTCTGTTGGCAGTCAGAGTCCAATGCATGGATCGCAGAAATAATCCTTTCTTCATGGCCCGGCTGGGCTTCCCAGAACCAAGTAGAAAAACGTTAGCTCAAGAGGCCCCTAGAAAAGATGGGGTGGACTGGGTAGACAGAAATACGTGTGGTCCCTTTCACCGTCCTTTTAACGAGGCACGCCATCGGAGGCCGTTGGAGAACATGTCTTCGTTCGTCTGAATGCTACACTATTCCTGTAAGACATGGGGACGACTGTTTGAGGGACAAGAGGATGACTGCTTGAGGCACAATATGAACCTGGCGAATAATAAACAGAGATTCCCTCTTCGCCGGTCTTGCTGTCATCGCTCTATACCTAACTCATCGTGTGTTATGGTGTGCATTCGAGTGTTTGGTAGGCCCCGGACCTACGTGGATGCTGTGGGGAAAGTCGGCCCTGCGGAGTTCCGAGAGGGTGAGTCAGACGCCCTCGTGACTTTGCTCTATCGTACTGGATTGGTTAATTAAGGGTACTACTGTAAGTGCGCACTATCGCAATCAGTTCTGGCTAGTTCAGGAACGAACGGTGTCGATGCTGTTATCGTCGTCTTCGTCAGTGTTGTAGCTGTTCCGTCCCTTGTTGGTCGTTGGAGATGTTGATCGTGTTGCGATTTGGTCTCGCCGCACAGCTAGATCATGTCTCTTGAAGGGTAGCAGGCCAACCACAAAAACTGTACTCAGGATTGTTCTCGTCAGCTTGTTGTGTGTTGCGTGGCAATAGCGCAGTTCCTGTCGTTGCGGGCGACACAGCGCAGCAGATGTCGTTTTGGTATCGCGTACCTCAAGTGATTTTGCAGAATCATGTTGTACAATTGGCGTCAGGCCACCGCCGTCCCTCACAAACAATTCCCGACGGCAGGGATGGCCGAGTTTGAGGTCCCCGTGACCAAGTGCGAGGTTTGGGCCGTTACAACTGCGTTCGACACAGACAACCGTGGCCAGGTAGGACGTGGAGGAAAGCACACACTGCTAACGCAGTGAGTTGGAGTGTGTCGAAACATTGACCGGTGGGATCTCGTGGGGTTACCTAACGCCACATACATGTGGAGAGCACGGTATTGAGTGGTGCATCACCTGTATTGGCATAAGGAGGCCTCACAAAATTCAACGCTTCCATCAAATGATCCATTCCGAGGGAGAGAATACCTTCTTAATTTTCGACGGCAGGACAGCCGTGGTATTGCAATTTCCCGACGATGAGCCTGAACCGTAAAACCTGTTTGTTAGAGACCTGGTTAGTCTTGGCACCCTGTTTCTTGCTTACATTGGTAGCGGCAGGTCTTCTTCGACAAACGGACCAGTTCTTTCCGTTTGTTTCCTCCAGCCCTAACCCTGTTAGTTAGAATATGGCTTTCGTAACCAAGTGCCCTAGTCTTGACGTTTTCTTCAGGAACACGCCCAACGCCATGGTCTACACCCTCCGTTCAAAACCAAGGCCACAAATGATTTCCCGGATATTTTACAGATCTGTTTGGACAAGCTGATGCACTTCTTTCGGGCTGGAGGGCTGTCTGAGGCTCGCCGCAAGGTTGTCCACAAGCTGTTCCGGGGCCTTGATTCCGCAAACACAGGAGCAGTACCGCTGAGCAGCATTCGAGCGGCGTGCGACTTTTCAAGCTCGCCGGCTGTCATCGAAGGGTACGTAGGGTGACTTTGTCCGTTCACAGGGACCCAATACATTGGATGGACTAGGAGGCGCCTCCAAACACAGTGATGTTGTGACGCAACAACCTACTTCGGAGCCCCGCTTCATCAAGATCGAGTCGTACACGGGCATTCGAGGGCACCGGCTGGGTGTGATGGGGGGGGGGAGGGTACGATGCCACCATGTACGATTGGGGTCGGTTAGTGGCGTTGGCCATTTTTTCTACCCTGCCTGTACCTTCCCCAATGACAATCTATCTGTCTTGACCCCCACTTGCTCACATGTTTCGGCCTTGTCCAGGAAAGCATGCGAAGAGGAGATAACGACAGAGTTCCTACAGCATCTCCAAAACAACGAACAAGAGGGGTGAGCGGATGATATGTTATCGTCAGGTTTTCACCCGCAAGGCGCGAAGTCGAGCTATCCTTCTCGATCTAGAGCCAATGTATGTTGCCGTTCGAACACGTAGACTACCACACATTCCGACGACGACCACCCCAAAACAGCCCACGTGGGTGGACACGCCTGCTGGGAAACCTATCATACCTTTCGTAGGGGGGGGGGGGACTCTTTCCCCTGTTCCTCTCACGTATTATCCGGCTACTGTTGTACTGTTCCCTCCCGAACCTCTCTCTCTCTGTGTGTTTCTGTGTGTCTCTGTGTCTCTCTCGACCATTCCCTCAGACTAGGAGAGTCCAGTTCCATGGTAACTGCGGAGCATTTCCAAGATGCATTTCGCGACATCGGAACCGCCTGCACTTCGTTGGCAGCGTGTTCATGGGAAGCTGCTTCCCTCCAAGAGGAGAAAAAGGACAGGGGGCACCTCGATACTGATGCCGATGGGAATGCCGGCGAAGCGTTATTTATGGGAGTTGTATCGTCCGTTGGCGGGTAAAATCGCGACAAATACGACGTAACGTGACTATCGTCGAGGGAGGGACCGGTTGTCGTTGCCTGGTTGGATGGTAGGATCGTTGGCATCACATGTCGATCGAGACGAAGCGTGGTTTTCGCATCTATTCCGAGCAATACGCATGGGATGATTCAGAACGTGTATTCAATTGTGCTGTTGAAGGCTGAAGTGTCATGCCGCTGAGCGACACCATCCTGTAACACATCGTCGGTCGTTGTGAGTGAGAATACGGTGTGTTGCGCTGGGATTGTGATGCCAAGGAGGCCAAAACATCTGAAGGTAGTAGGATGGCGAAACAACACTCCTCCCGTGCTTCCGCCAACAACTGACACATTCCGGTATTTGTCATAATGCAGTGTGACAGACCCCCGCCCAGTGGAACGAACGGCAAGAACCGAAGCAATTCTTGGCGAATTGGAATCACGGCCGAACAGGAGTGCCCGAGCCGTGCGTAGGACATTGAACAACGCAAATAGTGAAGCAAAAAAATTCCAACCGACCTGCTGGTACGAGAAAATAGACAACACGGCACAGCACCAAAAACTGGCAACACCATCCACAAGCAGTTCTCGCTCGCACTCCCGTGGTACGTAAATTTTGGTGTTTCAACACACGACACGACTAGACTATTATATATGAAGAACCGCTCACTTTGCTCCACTAGCTCGTCCAAGTCAGCCGGCACGCGAAGCAGCAAAAGTTATCCGCGGAGATCATCACCACGTCGTCCCAAGCCATACCCATAGCCCTGAAGTCTAGCCATGCCACGAAATCCCTTCAACAACAAGATCCTTGGCGTGCCTTCAGGGGATTCATCTCGAGACGGACCGCACAGCTCTCTACCCTTTGACCACCAGATAGACAGTCCCTCCTTCACCTTGATAACCGACTCAAAGGAACAAATGGTTCAACGTGAACAACTCCACTTTCCATGGAGATTCCGAGAAATTGCATCCCTTGGCGCATAGCTGACAACCAAGCTGTGACCAAAACCGGTCAAACCGATCTCCGAGACAGAAAAATACCGCGACGCACGCCCGAGCCAGTTTCGTCACAGAGCTACAAAAAACACGCAACTACGGTTGTGAGCGGAACCCGGTGGAAAACTCCGACCTCAGCCACAACGTAGCCGCTGTAGCTTCCAGTTCTCCAAGCAGTTCCGTCCAAAGCGTGCCACGCACTGCACCATGTCGGCTAAAGGAGTACCGAAACGCTTGGTATGGTTCTCATCTCGAAAAGCCTTCCCCGAAAAACCATGCTCGTACCACCCAGCACCAGTTTGCGACGAAGCGCGAACGTTTTCGCACAACGAGCCAGAGTCGACCGCCCCGTCGTCCCTTCCAGCCGTGATGTCTTTCTTTCTATAATACCCCCGATGCGATCGAGTCAAGCGGCCACCCACCCAACCCGTAGCACCACTGGTTAAGGCTTGAGCAGCCCATCTGGCCACCCCATGAGTCCGTGGGATTTGACTTAGGGTCACCCAACCCTAGCCAAAACTAAATAGGTCGTTCTGTCCTTTGTTCTCGGTTTGGCATAGATGCTGACGTGGGGGTTGTCGGCCTTCGACATCCCACAGAACGCTCAGTCCCCCGTGTACGTGACTTGAAACTGCCCCGTCTCCAAGCCGATGATTCTGGCTCGGTCCACCGGGCAGCGATCACCGCGTGCCCTAAGCAGCGACGCGCACGAGGTACACGCGAGGCTGTGCCGACAAGGCAAGAAACGCGTCTGCACCGGTGCCGAGGCACAGATCATGCAGTCCCGCCCAGCCTCCGGGCTAGGCGACGGAGCGGCCATCGGCGATGACGTCGCGCCGGCCACCGCGCCTCCGACCGCCGCATCCGCCATCGCGGGAGACGGCGGCGACGGCGGCACCGCCGGTTGCGGCTGCGGCGGCATCAGTGACGAAGCTCCCGACGCAACCGCTGCCGCTGCCGCCGCCGCCGCCTCGGTAGCTGCCCTGGCTGCCGTGGCGGCGGCGGAAGCTGCCGCGACGGCAGCGGCGGAGGCTGCGATAGAAGACCCGGGCATAGTGGGTCCCGCCACCACCCCCGGAGGGAGGGCCGTGGATGATGCAGGGGTGGGTGGCGGTAGGGGTGACGCCAACACGGAGGCGTTCGGTGCGCTTTCGGCGGGCCCGGCGCCGCTGCTGTCACTGTTCGCGGCGGCCGCTGTGCCCGCGCCGCCGCCTGCATCATCTCCGAGGTCGAGACGTTCCATGCGCTCGATCAGGTGCTGCAGGCGAGGGCGACCATCCCCTGCCGAACAAAGGTTTTTGGTAAAGTCGGAGGTACGATAGGGTGATTGGAGAGTCAGGTGTCGAACGTAGCACCCGACTCATCCACGGTCCAGCCGATCCACGAAACCCTAGCCACGGTCGAAATGCCCTAATATACACTCCTGACACGCCGGGAAAAAAAAAATCGACTACAGCAATGGCCTTGTTTGGTAGGAGTTTCGCCGGTACTGTACAATAGCGCTTGCGATGCGAGGGTCTGTCGTGTCTGTCCATGCCAGCATCAACATCACCCAGCCACGACATCATCTACAGAGAGGATTCACCTTTCCGGGCTTGCCGGATCAACATCACGTCTGCCATTGGCCATCTAGCATTACCCTAAAATATGGGGGGGGGGGGTGGAGTCACTCCATACCCCCAAGCTATACGGCATTGCTCGCTCGGGGCGAGCTTTGATGGTACTTCTAGCCTTCCGTGCGGCCGCGCAACACGTCTACCAGAAGGTGGGAGGTTGCATATGAACAGAAAGACTGTGTAAAGTGTGGTTAATAAACGCAAGCAGCACCGTTTCATCACCATCACCATCACCATCACCTTGCCGGCTTACGCACTGCCAAGCCTCCTTCGCGAAGGACACCACGGGGGGGGTGTCCGGCCAAGAGCACGCCGAGTCCAGGCAGTCTGACAGCTGCTTTCCGTTCACCTGACAGTTTTGTTTTGTGGTTTTCAACCGAACCCAGAGTCACACCGGCAGCGTGTCGATGAAAGTCGAGCAATTCAACACCCTCAAAAAGAACCCCAAACAAAAAACGTCGGACCGGTCATAGACAAAAAGAAGTTGCCTTGACTGCTATACAAAACTCGGTTTGCTTGGCAACCGACCTCGTTTGGTTCTTCACAATCATAATCATGACCATTGCCACACCACCGCGTCATTCTGATTGCATCAAAACAGCAGTGAATCTGTTGCCCATGCGTCGACACGGCGAAATAGAAGACTACGTACACTGCTGCACTGTTTACCCATTGCACGCGACCGTCAGCCATGCAGTAACCCTAACCCTAAGTGCCTCCATCTACCCCACCCGACTAGATGAAGCAAAACCATGCTTGACTCAACGGCAACAACCCGCACACAAGGCTGTATGCATATGAAAACAAAGGGGGCAAAGGGAACACCGCGATAACTTAACGGGAGATGCATGGCGGGAGAAACACGTGCATAATTTTGAACAAAATCATCCAGAGCCAATGTAGTCTTCCTGCTCACCCGGTCCACTAGACAAGACGGCCTGAGCTGAGCGGAATGCGCCGGAAGGCCCGTGAGCAGCTCGAGGAATACGACACCGAGGCTGTACACGTCCGACGCAGGAGTGAGAACGCCCGTCTCCTGGTACTCGGGGTCGATGTATCTAACCGTGTCAGGGTTGTTGGTGTTGGATGCATCCCGCGAAACATGCCGTCAGCGGACGAAAGGCGAGCAAGTCTGGGGTTAAGGGTCAGGGCGCGGATAATAGCAACACGTTACACGGCCGGGAGCTGATTTGCTAATCATTTTGTGCTCCGGATATGTGCAAGCGAAGGGTATTGACTAGGCAGATCGACACAATGATCTCATGTCAAGGAGCGAGCGCTAATACGACAATCATTTTCGAGACCCCGGCCATTTTCCGGTTTGGTACAACATCGTGCAAAATCACTAATTTCTGGAGCCCCATTTTCACTCACTCCACTAAAGCGACACCTACGATGGTTCGGTTTTCTGACTCACCCCCAGGTGCCAATGAGCCGGGTGCTAGCCTCAGAGCCCGCTCCGTCGAGTTGTCTGGCGATGCCCACGTCCGAAAGCCTTGCCCGCAGGTTAGAATCCATGAGGATGTTCTCGGTCTTGACGTCGCGGTGGACGATGACAGGCTTGCCCCACGCTCCCGCCTGCGGTTGGTGAAGGTACTGCAGCAGGGGGCAAACGGCAAGGCGTTCGGGAAATGGTTACTACGTCACTTGATGACGGCCCTCCGCTGTACCAGGATCGTGCATACAAAGCGAGTGAATCATCACGAGGAAACCACCACGCACTACCGTCCCTCCAGAGAACGCTTCTCAGAGAGCTTCGGAAAGTGGGCCGGACGCAAAAAAGGCGGCAGTCGAAGAGTAGCCGTACATCGCTCTCTCAAGGAGCTGTGGTACTTAACTGTAGAAAATATCATCTCATCAACAGGATACCCGGAGCAAGTCGTCGCGAGTTCGGAGTGCCTCGCCAAGTCCTCTACAGCTACATGTGTATAGCAGCCGTGTCAGTGCCTCACCTCTCTGCGTGACCCAAGAACAGATAAGTCGGCTCAGATCTCTACGCGACTCCATGACAGAGAAGAGCCAGCTAAGCTCAGGCTAGCACTACAAAACCCGCACTGCGAAAACCTCCTCGAGTCGTATTCCTCACGGTTCCACACGAAGGCCTGCGGAATACAAACCATGTCGCCTCACCTGGAGCCCTTTGCTGATGGACAGCGCCACGGACAAGCGCGTGCGCCACCCGATGGCAGCCCGTCTTTGTGGCTCCCTGAGGTGCCACTCGAGGCTTTGTCCGACGAACGGATAGACCAGCATCGGGGTGGGGTCCACGCAGATGCCGAGCAGGGGTACCAGGTGCTCGTGCCGGCAGGTGGTCAACACCTGTTACGATACAATATATAACACAACGAGAGGGGACGCGATACAAAGACAGCAGTCAGGTAGACAACCACTACACGACAGCGGACAATTGCCCCACTGGAGGCAGTAAGCGGTATCCGTTGTCTGGACGACAAGTGTAGAGACTTGGCATATGCACCCGGTCAGGTGTAGGACAGACCTTGAACACGCAATGGGCACAACTTGCTTCAGCTTTTGCGACGTACCGTGTCATACGGTGCCCTTAGCGAGCCACGACGGTTGTGGCGAGAGGTATCATAGTCGCGACCAACTGCCCCACGTACATACAGCAGTCGGAAGACTGGCCAAGATAAACGGTGCGCGCCCAACTTCCAGCAAACGCAGACTAAAGGTTTGTGCGGTAGGACACAATATCGCTGTGAGGCGGAGCCACTTATTCAGGTCTTACGGTGGACCCCTGCATGGCAGGAGCCCGTTCCACGACGAAACAACAATAAAAAACCTGTTGTTTTCGCCCTTAGATGAGCATGAATCGACCACCTCAAGGCAGGCCGCCACCCAAAGAGTTTTCCGTCCTAAATAGACAGCAGTACGTACCTGAACCTCCTTGAGGAAATTCGGGAGGCCCTGCAGACCATAGCCGTCTAGCCTCTTGACGGCTACATCCTCCCCCATGAAACGGCCCCGAAAGACAGGCCCGAAGCCCCCCCTGCCCACGATGGCGCTGTCTGGGAACCCAGCACACGCGGCGTCGATCTGCTGGTGGCTGCCAAAGGAAACAACAGGCGGCGGTTTCAAGCAGGAAGAATTGGTTCGGCGGGTTGTTTTCTGGGGGTAGATTGACTCGCAATTGGTCGGGGAGAATCAACCATCGCGGGGATTATGAGCATCCGATATCCAATTCAAGTAGCGGCTACCCACAGTTGAATAGAGGGTTCGGACATACCGAAAGAAGCCCCTTCTTAAATCGTGGTTCTTCCCCAAAGCTGTACCACTGTTGTATGTAATCTATCATGCTCGGGCCAAACCATGTCTACTCTCTTCTTCTATTTAGTACATACATTGAGCTTGCTTGAAAACTCTCTCCCAAACTGCAGCCGCTTCCGTGCATACACGATACCACAGGGGATGTCTAGACAATGGAGGCGTGCGGCAGCAACCCTGACAACCTCCAGGTGCTACTTCATGCTTACCCTGCAGCAGCAATCGATCCATAGGCCAAACATTCTCCGTGGCACCGTCGACAACCCCTCTCCTCACCTGAAAATCCTGGCCATCTCAAGACCACCTTGCGGCCGGTCCTCCGGCCGTTCACCCGCCCCCGCCGCCATTGCCGACGCAGCAGGGGCACCCGCAGCAGCACCCGCTGCCGCCTCGTTTTCTTCCACCCCAACGTCCCGCATCGGCACGCTCCCTGCCCCTCCGTCTTCCTCGCAACCTTCCTCCTCTCGGTCGCCGTTAGCGTTAGCCGGACCATCGGCATCGCTCCCCCCGCCGACGGCATTTGGGGCATCGCCGCCGCCGCCTTCGAGAACGGCGGCATCGCTACCGCTGCCGACGATGCCGTCGTTGCTGTTGGAGTTGTCGTTCCCACCGCTGTCGTCGCCACCGTTGGCGTTGCCGCTGTCGTTGGCATCATGTTCGTCTACCGACATACTCGGCGCTTCGTCCTCCTGCTCGACGGAGGACGCCATGCCCTCATGCTCCGCACCGCCACCGTTGCCACTACCACCGGTGTTGCTGCTGTTGCTGCTGACGGCAGCATCGACCGGGGCGCTATTTGCTCCGCCGGCGGCAGTGGCCACATCGTCACCGTTGCCTTGGCCATTGTCGCGAGATCTGGCTGAGTTAAGGCTGCGCTCCTCGGCGAGAGCGACGCCGATGTTCTCGAGACGGCCCAAGGCTTGCTCGAGCACCTGCGGCGACACCGGGGAACAAGGGTCGCGGCTTAGGGACGAGAGCAGGAATAACAAGCTCCAGCAACGCCTTTCTGGAGCAACTATGATATCTGCCCTTCCATCCGTCGGCGGTGGGAAAAAAATGAAAAAAATAGCCCACTTCACGCAGGAATCCTGAGAAGTGCACTGTGGAACGATGCAAGTCAAAGAAAATGATTGCATCATATCCAAGAAGCCTACGGGGAGGCACAATGTATGAATGTATGATACGCTGGTCTCGTGAAACCTGGCCTTCCTGCAAAGACTGCAGTGCCACATACTACTGCAGCAGCATCGAGGTGTACCAACGCAGCCGCAAATCGCAGCGTTCAACCATAACAGAATATGTTACAGTAGCCCCAGGGTCGGATTGTAGTACACCTTTGCCGCTGGCTCGCCAGCACCGGCAAGGAGCAGCAGAAAGGAGTAGCAAGAGCAGCAGTGCGGGGCTAGCAGCAGTAGCAACAGTAGCAGCATGTAAATCTAGACGCAGAGTCATAATCTACGAGCATGTTTGTCAAACGTCACGTCTCTTGAACACAATACAAGACTCGCCATCTTCTCAGTACACCAAAGGACGCAAACGAAACTCTAGACTTCTACTGTAGTGTTCTCCGCCCATGCTCACATGAGATCGACTGTGTAGGAGACCCTGCTGCCCTTCCGCCTGGCGCCGCAAAGCCTCAGCCTCCCTTGCTTGAGCCTTCGGTAGCCCATACGACACGACGTAGCAGCACCCCGATTAGCCAAAATACACAGACATCGCCAAACCCCAGGCAGCACACGCGAGCAAAATTGTGTCAAGATAGCATGGAGGCAACACCACGCCAGTACCCCACCAGCAGCACATCGGATACGTTGCAGCAAAAGTGGAGAGCCATGCTGACAGCATGACATGTCAATCTTCGTATTGGCTTGGTCTCTACGACATTTAGTGACACACAACGACATATAGCAGCTGTCGGCAGCATGTTTGCATGCAAAGAGAAAGGCGATGGGAGCGAAGCATGCATTGTACCAAAAAAACGAACCGAAACATGGTACATTATGTTTGTTCGCCCACCAAAGGCAAACAAAAAAACTCGCCGACTAAAGCGATACGATGCGACCGGTCGGAGTCGATGGATCAATCGCACCCTGATTGATGGACTACTCTAAAGGAGAACACGATAGCTGTGCACGCCGGCAAAAAACCTCAAACGACGTGTACCCTTGTATAATCAACGTGCCGTGAGTTAGAACCCGCCCATCGAGACCCACAAGCCGTAAGTATAGTGGTCCGAATTGGTGTCTCAACCATAGCCCTAAGTACGCGGCACAGCACATAGCCCACCTCGAGCTTCTCCTGTGCCTCTCGAAGCTTTCTCGACAGCCGTTCCACCTCCCCATCTGCGCTAGCCACGCGGTTTCGAAGGACACCAGCCTGCCTCCGTCGCAAGACCACACAGTACACACAGACCAAGGGAGAAGCATGCTTGTGAAAAGTTGCTACAATAGAATGCCATAGTTTGTCGTGGGCTACCCACGTGACGGTCTTGTGTCTGACTCATGATCCACTACTTTCGAATGGTCTTGGGGGGGTGCTGAGGTCTTGCGCGGAAGGAAAAACCACCCATGGATGTAACAAGACGACGGTAAAGCTTCGCAGTCCATACCATGGTAGAAGTCAAGCTCTCATTCAACATTTCCGTAACTGTCACGCTGCACTACCGCAACGTGAGCGGCAAATCCGGGATCTCAATACAAGTTTCGACTCTTCTCACTAGCGCCGGCCGGTGGGCAAGGCACTTCTCTCTATGGACGGACAAAAACCTTAACCTCCAAAACAAGTTGCGCGGATTGTAGACAACAGCTATACAAATACTTGAAGAACAGAGGCGGGCGCAAAGGTAGCGGGCGCAAAGGTAGCGGGCGCAAAGGTAGCCAACAATAGCTACCAAAGGACCACCAAAAAAGTCTAACCGTTCGACCAGCACGAAAAGCGTCCACGATAAAAAAATCACAACACGATGGTCGAAAAACGCACCAGACCGCCCCCGAGAACCAAAGAGTGTATGCATACCAACAGTTGCACATAAGCATCAATCACGCCTCGGCTGTCACCTGTCTGGCCTTCTCAAGCACGAGGGAAGCGTGCTGGGCGGCCAGAGAAGCGTGTTCTCTTCCCCTAGCGGCAGCCTCCGCTCTGAGCCTCCGAACCTCGCTCCTCAGCCCAGGGCTCATGGGGTCGGAAAGCGACGACGACGAGGAGGGAGACGATGTCGCCACGTCGGTTATCCTTATCGTCCCTCTCGGCGAGAAGCACTGACGGAAGGGTAACGGTAACGGTAACGGTAACGGTAACCGCAAAGGGACGAGGACGACGGCAAGCGGGGAAGCAGACGCCCAGTTATGCTAGGGTCAGGAACGAAAAAATAAGACCACCATGGAACGTGTCGATTGTGACATCATGTTGCTCCCGCGCAAGTTATGATACGGCCAGCGACAATCGTTCATCGTCGTGTCCTGGGGCGACGGCTAAACAATGAGAAACGATATACTAGCGAGCCTCGAGGTAATGAAAGAGCGACGAGTACGCCAAAGGGGGTCGTCGTGCCAACCCCGGAGAGCAGGCTCGACCACCAACAGCACAACAGCAACAAGGGCCACTGCTGCTGTTGTTGAGACCATCATACCATACCACGCCCCCGCAGCAGTAACATTGCAGACTTAGGATCAGGGTCACCAAGACGGATTCCTTGCTTTCGCGGTTTGTTCGGACCTGGCTTCCCCCTTCCATGTGTCCATGGTGGATGCCACGGGCGCCGTCGGTAGCAGCATCCGAGTGCTGCAGGCGCTGCGAGGAGAGCGACGTCGTCCCTGCTCTCTGTCGCTTGTTGGCGTTGGTCCGGCTCCTCTGGCTACGACCGTCCCTTCGCACGGGTAGTGCAGTATTCGTAGTGCAGTATTCGTATTGATACACCGTGGCAGCGTTGTGTCGGACACCGCGGGAAGGAAGGAAGCAAGAAACGAAGCTTGGGGTGAGCAGTTGTGACGTTGTCGCCGATCTGATAAGTCCGTGACTTTTGAGAACGAGAGCGTGTCTGGTGCTTGTAAGGCTTTCATAGGCGATTGCCCTCGTGGCCCTCCCCGTCCGGTCCTCTGCTAAAATAGTATATTCACCGGCCTTTTCACGTACCAATGGACCAATGGTATACGTCGAATGTTACAGGGTGTCGAGCATCGCCGGAACGTAGCTGTATATTGCCTTGTGCGGTTGTCTTCCAGGAGAAAATCCCAGCTACATATTGCAACAGATTGCAACAGCAGAGGGACGCTGTTGGACACAATGGGAGATGTGTGGAATCCAACTTAGGAAAGTAACATGCATGTACGTATCGCCAATCCGACGTGGCGCCTCTTGTTTGTTGCGACTGGAAGCGGCAAGAGGTCATGCTGCTGGACACGCATGGTCGGTGCATTGTACAGGGAACCCAAGTCAATGGAAAATTCCAAATTTCAATCTTCGTTTACTAATCCAATGTTTGGTGTCAAAAGAATTAGGTGTAAAACAAAGACAAAGATTTGGACTCTTGCACAAACTTGGATTCGCTGAACCTCCCGAGCGCGTCCAACAGCATTGTCTCCCTCCTCTACTCATTTCAACCAAGACAAGAGCCTCTGCGTCGGTTTGGCGACATGTAGGCGTGACCGCTCCCCGGGGACGAGTTGCCTCGTGTCCCCGGGTTCACCATACCCATACCCACCTGTAACGGTTGTCCCTCCGAGTGGCCCTTAGCTCTGCCTCTAGCTCCTGGACACGACGAGACTGTATAAAAAAACAACCAATCACAGAGGAGCAACAGCAGGAAGAAAAAAAAAAACAGCACACAACGTTTGGAAGGGTGGGCAATACAGAAAATGGAGACCGGAGGGGGGGGGGCAAGGGAGGCAAAACACGCGCGTTCTCCGGACTGCGGCAATGCTGTTCGCAAGAGAAGACACCAATGCTATGTGCGATGCTATGTGCTATGCTGTACATGCGATCGTTCACACCAACTCGAAAATTAGTAGCATCGTGACACGCACGGCATTTCACCCCCAGCGATGTGGGTTAGGGTCGGCTCGCGTTGGCCGAGCGTATCCCACAGGTGTCAAAGCTGCTCACGCCCGTGCCTTGGCCATTCACTGCCGGAAACCAGTTCAAAAGGGTTGTTCGGAGTTGTTCCCTTGCCTCGATACTGCTGTACCCATCAAAACCGCGTCCATCCTCCGAAACAAAAATGTCGCCACAAAAAAAACTGCACCCCACTCTTTACCCTCTCGGTGGATACCCCGGCCCGTCTCCGGTGTGCCCTAAAATTAGCCTCATGGCGCAAAGCACCACGCTAAGCGATTCCTCTTCACCCACCTGTGCCTCCAGCACCTCCGCCGTGCTCGTGCTAGCGTCGCTGCCTGATCCATGCTCTCGGCCTTCCACTGGAATACCTCCACCAGCGTCCGGGAACCCCGGCACCCCGCCGCCGCCACCGCCATCCCCGCCCACTTCCACCATCTCAGCGTTGGTATCCTCGGGCTCCGCGTGTCGCTGATGGTGATGGTGATGGTGATGGTGGTCTTGTCGGTGGTGATGGTGATGCTGCTGCTCGCTGGTGGCGGCGGAGAGACTGGGGTTCGATTGAGGTCTGCGGCAGACACCGCTGGTGTCACGGTCGTCCCCTCCCAAGCCGACATCGCCACCGCCGCCACCGCCGCCACCGCCGCCGGACCGTACGCCGGTACGCAGCGGGGACTGCAGCCGGAGCTCGAGCTGGCGGCGCGGGGCGCTGTTGCTCCTGAACGGGCTTCTGGAAGAGCCTTCCGCGCCTCTGTCGGGAGAGAAAAAGTACTGCTGCTGCTGCTGCTGCTGCTGCTGCTGCTGCTGCTGCTGCTGCTGCCGCCGCCGGGCTTGTTGGCGATGGGGATGCCCACGTTCTCCTTCGCTTGCCCCCCCTTGTTCCTCCTCCTCTTCCTCGTCCTCCATAACCGAGGCGGAACCACCGTCATCGGCCGCTTCCGCCTGAACAGCAGTAACAGCCGTAACAGCAGCGGCAGTAGCGGCAGCAGCAGCATGTCCCCGCTGCGGCTCCTCCTTCGGGGACTCCGCGAATGCGGGAACCGGCGGCATGGTCCTACTTCCCCTGCGTGTCGGAGTGGCCGGGGCACTGCTCCCGTCAGTTACGGCCATCGCTGCCGGAGCAGGCGACGCAGCAGGCGAAACCGTCGAGGGCGACAAGGCCAAGAACGGCGATGGACGCCCCCCACTCTCACCCTCGCCAGCTGCGGCGCCACTTGTCGGAGTGTCGAAGACGGATGACGCGTTGTTGTTGCTGTCAGAGACCGGAGATGGTGGCATGAGGGCCGGCGGCGGCTCCGGGGACCGTCCGCTACCGGCATCGCCTCGCGCTGAAGCAGGAGTGTTGGCTCCTCCTCCTACCATGACCGGCATGAGGGGGGTGCCCGGAGCATCCTTCCGGGCGAGTTCCCCAGCTTGCGCTCGCAAGAGGGCCGCCTGCGGGAACAGAAGCGAGGTTCGGCATCGATGTCACCGTTGGTCAGAACCACAAGCAGCACAAGCAGCACAAGCAGCACAAGTGGGCGTGGTTGGTGCGGAACTGGCATGCACGGCTCTTTACTGTATCCATTCAGAAGTCGACGCACGCATTAGGGTTAATATGCTCGTAGACGTTGCCCCGAAAATAACTCGGTCGGGAAGATAGACCACGGTCAGTCGTGTACTGAAACCTGTAGGCCGTGGTTAGTTAAATCTTGCAAGGACATTGGATGGGGGAAATGTATCTCATGGCCGTATGCCGTTCGAAGGAAACGTGCTGAGACATCCGCTGTGGTGCCAGCGGGCGAGGCTCCCTTACACAGATGCCGGACAAAACCATCGTACTTGCGATAGGGTGGAGACAGCTTCCTTTCCCCAAGAGAATCAATCTATCGCGAAGCGAGAGTGAACGACAGGACGACAGGTACTGCAGATAACCCACGACACTACACACAACCACACCACACGGGTTCCCAGATCACGGCCTTCAGAAGCTTTTTCGGTTTTCAACCGCACTGAGACAGACTGGTGTCATTTCTTTTTTTGGTCAGCCGGTTAGCGCGGTCGACGAAAATAACAAAACTTCAGTGTATAGGCGTACATAGTCAAAACACAAGCCCAGCATCCAGTCCAGTCGTTTTTCCTTCGATTCTCTGTAAAGACTTCAACACACGCCCTTCGACTGTGGTATTGTCTCTAAAGGGTAGTCTTCAGTTTATTGTATGATGTGTGTACTTTCAACAAAACATCGACGTACGTGTTCCTCCGCCCCTTTCCTCCTCGCCCCCGCCTCCCCCCTCCTCCTCTCGAGGAGGTCCCTCTGGACCGAAAACGCCCTCTCCTCCTCCTGCATGGACCGGATCATGGCCGCGTTAGCCGCCAGCGCCGCCTTCAGGTCCGCAGACCGCTTGCTCTGCAGGCCAGGGTGGTCTAGCTGAGCGGTGTGTGCAACAACCAACGACAAATGGCCCCAAGAGAAACGAAAACCGACGGGGGCGGTTAAGCGGAGAGGCGGCACGCGGGGTCGTGGGCACCAGAACAGAATAAATTGTGACAAGTCGGAAGAGGCTGCCTGCGGGTCTAGATGGAAGCCTGCTCTCGCAGGCAAGACATGGTGATGTTTAAAAGCTACCATAAGGTATTTGTTCTACTGTACATGGTGCCACTTCTCTCTCGACACAGCGGTCCAGTCGATGCGACGCCAAAGACTTGGACGAAAACGAGGGACGCCCAGTTACCGTAAGCAGTTTTGAACAACATACTTGTAAGCATGGTCCGATTCGACCATCCATCCTCAACGAGGCACGTGGCGTACGGGGGTGGACCAATGGTTGGCGAGCATTCGGAAAGTCGCAGCCTATCGTGTACCTCGGGATCTGTCGCTGCTGATGCTGCCAAAGGTGACGGAAACGTCGGCGTTGATGACCCGCGTGATGGCAGCTGGGACTGCTGCAGCTGGGGCGACAACACCGACGACGATGATAACAGCTTTGACGCGCGTCGCGGAGACGGCGCCGGCGAGGGCATCGGAGTCGTCCTTGGGGAATTCGCTAGCGTCGGAGGGGTAGCTTCACCCGAAAAGGAGGCAGCACCCGCTGCCGTCGGCGTAGGTCTCGACGCTGCCGCTGCTGCGGCTGCTGCTGCGGCCAACACTGACGGCACTGAATCCAGCTCTGCTGTGTTCGCTGGCGGCAACGGTATCGTCGTTTGGGCCGCTCGATTGCAAGCACTGCCGCTGCCGGCGCTACCGTTACCGTTGCCATTGCCGCTGACGCTGGTGGAGGTGCCCGTGCTGCCGGAGCAACTGCTGTGTCCAACCATGTCCCCGGACGGTTTGCCGGCGACGAGGCTTGACGGAGGCGGTAGCTTTGCTGACGGCAAGCGTGCATCCTTACCCGTTCCCTCGGCAGCCGTCGCGAGCGTCGGCGACCTCTCCAAGCCATCTGGAGGTTTGGTGTTGGATATATTTCGGAAATAACGGAAGGGCGGCGGACAGGCACGGTTTCCGGCATCGCTTCAGACACGAGTGCATGTTTGGGTCGCGATGTTCAGAAAGGCGTCACGTACATGCACGCACCAAGCCCGCCAGCGCCCATTAGACCTACAAAAACAAGTTGTAATCAAAACTAACCTCCCGTCCTGCCTGCTGTTGCGTTTCTCTTCACAGCCTTTCCATGCGAAGAGCGTACCTTAACTGCACAGGCCAGGGCACAGGCACAGGCACAGGCACAGTGGTTTCGCACGCCTCAATCAAAGGCACCGGGGTGCGACAATAGACCAAGATACAAACACTATCGCACCCCGGTGCCCCGGCCCGCACAATTACGGGAACCGCAGGGAGTGCCCGTGTATGTACCATGTACGCATACTGGTCCCACAACTGACGATGCTAAGACTAAGACGATCGATCAAGCAAAAGCAATGAGATACAGTTAGCCGATCGAGCGCCACCTACCTGGTCCTGGATCGACATGTCCCGCACTCCCGGCACCAGCACTAGCACACACCACCCCCGCCGTGCCTCCATGAGTACAAATAGCGTTGCCGCCGACAGCACTGCCACCAACGGCACCACGACTCTTGACGTCAACACAAGCGGTGGACGTCGTAGATGATGAGGCGGTCGAATCGCTCCGGCCTCTCCTAGTCGACCGTTGCGTCCTCGCCACGGCTAACAGCGACCGTGTCTCCGAAAAGGGCTCGTTTTCCGCCTTAGTCCCCTGCGTAGCGCCACCGCTACTCATAGTAGCAGCCCCACCTCCTCCCGCCGCACTACCGCTTCCTCCCCCGACCCCAACCCCAACCCTCCCGCTGACGGCGTTGATAGTCCCGCATAGGCTGTCGCCTGCTCTTCGCCCCAGCTTGTCGCGCACGTTTGGGTCCGCATCGTGCCTGCAGGCGAACGAATCGAATCGAATCGAACCGTCACATATGGCGTGATAAATCAAGAAGGGTGTCCGCCCGCCCATTGCATCGACACATCCAAAACAGGAGCGCGACAAGCACAAAAAATAGGGGGGACTCGGATGCCGTCACAAAGCTCCACCCTGGCGGCGTTGTTTGATTGGGGTTTGCGGCAGGGTACGGCGGCGGTGTCAGGGTACTGTACTGGCGAAACCACCGTGTGCCGGCCACGTGCCTAGCAAGGGCCGTAGCCGGAATTAGCCCGGCCCGGCGTATCTAATCGTTTCTGCACATGAACATCACCACCTACTCGGTCTATCGCCCTCTCCGCTCCGACCACCTCACCACCCCACCCCACCCAGTCTCGCTGGTCCCCTACCCTTTACGTGCAGGTGCCTCAACAACACCAACAAACGGCTGGGTAGGTGCACATCGTTCTACCATACCGGTCTATTCTTGGATCGTTCAGTAAGGTTCTGAAGAATGATATTGACGCCCCTAAGGAATTTGCTCGCGCATCGGCCTTGTAGAGTGCAGCAACAGGCGCCTGTCTTTCTTCCACTTACAGCAGTGGCAGAAAGAGAGAGCACACGGAACTGGCGAGTTCAACACGTTACGGGTACCAATCGACGGAAGCTACCCTTCAAGTAACGGATATGAGACTCTCACAATACAAAATAATGGCCTTGCCTAGCGCCGTTAAACGTCAAACGGCCTACCTTGCCTCACTCTATTAATAGCACGAGCCTGGCACAGCTGGCATGCGCCCTACCCTAACGGACCCTATAAACAGCGTTGTGCAAGATAAACAGTCTCACTCTAGGAGAAGCCTGACACAGCTGGCGTGCGCCCCGAAGGCCGCGATGATGAGAGGAGTGGTCCCGTTAGCGTTCCTGGATGTAGGCATGGCGTAACCGTAGAGAAAATTAGACGTTCTACGCGTTGATATTACTCAACCGAAGACATGTGAGGATTCCACATCAGTGAGCTTTGGAACCCGAGGAGGCGTCTAGTTGATACCGGGGTGCGTTTGTCAGCTAGACGGTGTGCAGCATCAACACAGCGAGGGTATTATGAACCGGATGTGGTTGATTTTAAGGCACACTTCCGTGTGAGCTAACAGTGATAGTAGCGAACGTACCGTTACTGTGGACAGAGCCAGTCGCGTCCCGAGGGAGGAAAAAGACATGAAGTAGCAAGGTACACGCCAGCCGCGGCACACAATCAGGAATCAACACACAACATCGAACGCACGGTTCAAACTCACATGGCGACAAAAAAAAAACACATGCGCCGGTCACCATGCCTTTCCAAAAGGAGGGCGGTACCAGCACTACATGAAACGAGATAAACGACGCCCCCCCTTCACCTACAACTCCCCCGGTCCACTCCTTGCTCACCCTGCATCCACATCCACCCCCGCCCTCAGCAACGCCTCGGCGCAATCGAAGTGTCCATTGTTGCAGGCGAAGTGGAGAGGTGTTGACCCCTTGGTCGATGTCCAGTTCGGGTCGGCTCCCTGTACGTCGGTTGTGCGTGCACACGCCGAAGGGCATCGGTTTCTTTAAGCAAAGCAGGTGGAAAGCGTGTTCGGCAGGCGAGCCACTATTCATCATATGTACATCTGCGACGTAATATCCCACATGACAACCGAGTTGTACAGGTGTTGCGCTGGGATATGCATCCTCTGCCCGAAGGAAAAACCGAGAAACCGCAATCAGATGGAAGTACAGAGAAAAAGTCTTGCACGAGAGATCGTCATGCCCGTCACCCGCGCACTTTGAGCTTTAACTGATCCAAAACTGCTGTTGAATACAAGTACCATGCCGTACCGTGTGCGACAGCGGCGTCGCATCAACACCAACCACCATCGAGGCCATCAGCGTCTACACTCATACTTTATATAATCCGTTCAAAACCCACCCATCTAGCTACGCAGTTCAGGATATGAAGGTAGACACAACTCAGAAGGAGTACATTGTAAGAGAAAAAAAAAAGGTTTCCCTGTGTGCACACTTGCTGCCCATGTGACCCCTCTAAATCAAGACACCGAAACCGAAAGGCGTGAAGAAACTCCACCACACGTCTGGAATAATGGAGATTGCACACACGCACATGCACAATACTGCAAGTATTCGCTGAATCGTAAACTGGAAACTGCCGTAAAACCTCCTCTGCGGAGCCCCTTTCGGGGGCGGGGACGGGAGGGCACCGCGGGCGAGAAAGTATTTCGTGATATGTGTACGGCACACACCGTCATTGGTCAGCAGTCTGTCTAGTGTCTAGCGCAGCCAACGGTCATGAAAGAGCGTCATCACCGACACACCGCGAACGCGGCAGCCCGAGGCAAAACAAAAACAGGCGTCCGTCCACTGTGCTGCACCTACCTTCTCGAGGAGCATGTTCACTCCACCAGCTTGCCCGGAGTGGCACGCATGCTGCAGCAGCGTGATGCCGGCAGGGTTGGTAGCGGAGAGTATGGCCTCCTTGTCGTTCTTGTGCTTCCCCTCCAGCAAGGCCTTGGCGCTCACGATGTCTCCGCCCCCGATGCACGAGAAGAGGTCAGCCAGGGCTGCGGTGATGTACTTGGACGGGGAACCTGCCGCCGTCGCCCCCGGCATGGCTCGTCTACGTATAGTGCTCTCCTTGTTGTTGCTCTTATTTAAGCCTTGGGTCCGTTGGACTGATGCTGCTTTTCCAAGGAGCGACCACCTGCCGATGTCCGTTCGTTTTAGAGCCACGAGGTGAAAGATATAAAAACTGGATGCCTTGGTCCGATAGGGGTGACAACCACACACCAAAGGGTTTTGTTCATGCCGTGCAAGTACTGTTGTACTGGAGGTTCGTTTATTGTCGCCCCTTTGTTAAAGACAAGACATCGAATGAGTCCCTTGGAGCAGGGCCAATGTATAGTCTATACAGCAGTACGCTGACACATTGCTCACACATCTCTTGGATATAGTCTATATATCAAACCGTTGAAGTGCTTATGTGCACTACTTGCCGCTTGGATGTGAGAGGTTGCTCGATTACAGCAGCATGCAGCAGCAGCGTACCGCCGTACATGTAGTTTGAAGTTGTACGAAGATTAAGGGCGCGGGGGGGATCGCAGTACTTCCTCTTAAAAAAAACAGGAAACGCCTGGAAACGCCTGCATATCTCGGTTTTCCAAAGTCTAACTCCAGTACGAAACTACCATCGTAAATTAACCGTCCGCACCGGTCGCTTGTGTACAATGTTAGTAGCTGAGGTTGTACCCCTTGCGATACACTACAGACGAGCGGTCCGCGATTTTCCAAACGATCCTTCTATCATCGAGTTCGGTGAGCTACAAGCTAGATTTTTTAAGCTGCTGTGCGGTCCAATTTTGAAACGCTTCAAGCACACGGTGAACACGAATCACCGCCTATGTGAGTGTATGGGGCCGCGAACTTCAGCGCAGCTCTTCCCTCACATATCCAGCTGGTCGCCATTGTCGATTTGAATGCCTAGGGTCATGTATATGCATGTCCAGCCTTTAGGCAAAGGTGCTTGAAGCGTTTCAAAATTGGACCGCACAGCAGCTTCAAAAACTCTAGCTTGTAGCTCACCGAACTCGATGATAGAAGGATCGTTTGGAAAATCGCGGACCGCTAGTCTGTAGTGTATCGCAAGGGGTACAACCTCAGCTACTAACATTGTACACAAGCTTGATACCCCGCATAGCGTGAAGAGGGAGCGGAGGATCCCAGAATATCTGTCGTTGATTTCTATTGACTTGCGGACCCCTCGGGGGCCAGTTTATTTGAGTGTACCTTTTTAGGGTAAGTTAACCTGTGACCACGGGAATTGACCGCGTCGAGTGTTGGATCAGTACGGACATACGAAGGTACTGGGTAGAGAGAGATCGGAACGGTTTTTAATGTGAAGACAACAACAACAACAACAACAAGCGACCGGTGCGGACGGTTAATTTACGATGGTAGTTTCGTACTGGAGTTAGACTTTGGAAAACCGAGATATGCAGGCGTTTCCTGGATTTTTCAGAGGAGGTACTGCGATCCACCCCGCGCCCTTAAACATACAATAGAGTTTCTATTAAAGTAGTGTCGGGACTACATTTGATGTGTCTAGGATTCTGTAAAGATTTGTACTTTATACTTTACAATGTACGCAGTGTTCACCGGACTGTGTACGAAGTTCCACACCGCGGATGATGTGTCAACGCGTCGATGTGTTAATGCTGGAAACATCAGATCATGGGCCAACACCACTCTGCTGTTGCCTGTTGCCCTCTCGGCATCGTACAGTATGCATACGTCTTCGACTCGTGTAACCTACAGCAGTAAATATGTCTTCGCCCGCAAAGGACTAGACTGCGGTACTGCTGCTGCTGTAGATACACACTGGGTGTTTTCCCGAAACATATACCATATCGGGACCAAGCCCAGAAATATGATGGCTACTGTGCACACGCACGTATCGCAACTGCATGATGGGTCTGCCCCTAGACAGCAGCATGGTGTCTTAGACAACAGTGTGGTGTCCACGTGCAGACGATGCATACAGTGCACGATAAAACGCTTGAGCAGTTCTCCAAAAACAACTGACGCCGACCTACTCTCACATTGTTTTGTTCAGTCGAAGGCATAGAGCGTATATCACGTAGGGAGACCTTACCTCCAAAATAGCCTCCCCGTGCGCCCACCATCAGCAGCAGCCAGCTCTTGTTGTTACAGCAGAATACCTGACACGTCCCTATCGTGCCCACAGGAACAAGCCGCAACCGAAGCACTTGAAGTGGCGGGCAGGGTCCTGCCTGGAAACAGACGTATAATTGGGGTATCTAGCATCCATTCTGCGTTACCCCTCTGCCGACGGACCGGGGGACCTGGGACCTGGGACTGAGCAGCTGAGCAGTTCTGCACACGACTCTGCGTTTGCTCTGTGCTGAGGAGCACAGCAAGACCGAGAGGATGGATGAACTCGAGTTGGAGGAGCGGTTTGAGCTAATGGAGCAAGCGGTCGACACCTGTTTCCTTCTCGTCTGCGCTATTTTCGTTTTCCGTGAGTCGTGCATTGTTGTTGTTTTTTGTTGTTTTTCTTCACATTAAACTCGTGTCGTGCATGCATGTGTCTGACTCTTTTTTCCTTTTTTTTTTGTTTTTCTTCGTTTCAATAAGCACAGCAGTTTGTTGCCGAAACAAGGGCAGTTGGGAAGCGTGCAGCTTGTGTGATCTGCGTGTGTATTTGACTACTTAGTGTTTGGGCAGCAGGTAGTATGCTGCGTTACGCTGGATGGCGCTGATTTACTCTGTTGGTGCTTGCAACACACTAACGTCAGGGGTGTGCGCTCTTTGTGTAGACTTGATTGGCAGTCTTGCGTATCAGTGCCGGAGATCTCGGAGATGTCGCGGCAAACTGGCCGCAAGGCCGATGATTTTGGCAGGACGGATGTGTTGAGAGCAATACAAGTACTTCGTAGTAGATATGTCTTTGCCCATCAGTCATGTCGAAGCTCTCCCCATGCATAGAATAACATGCCATGTCCTTCCGAGAATGGTGTGTGATTGTGATTGTGATTGTGATTGTGATCGTGATTGTACTACAGTATAACCTCTACAGACACGGCCGACCGACTGGTTCTTGTCTGGTCTGTCCACCTCTTTGACCATGACGAAGTGTGGCGCGTAAGCTGATGTTCATTCGAGCGAAGCGAGATTTCTACAGTAATCTTGCCTGAGGAGACAGCGCAGTATAGGCTCCATCCAGAAAAAATAGTTTGTACAGTCTATTCGCCTAATCTAGGTTTTATGCTTGCTTTTAGACTACAGGGGTCAGCAGATGCATTTTTTTTTTGTCGGAGCACACAGCGGATTGAAGCAGACAACACACGCATCGCGGGCGACAGCATACGCATAACAGGCGACACACACGCACAGCGGGCGACATCATGTGGGCTCGATGCCGCTGGACTCTCTGCGGTGTGATGAGGCTATGTATTGCTGTTGCGCATGTTTTTTTTTTGTGTTTTATCGCCGCGTTCATCTGCCAGCAATGTGAGCACAACACCACATTGTTTCTCGAAACCTAGGACGCCGATCGCCATCGCACCACTTCGAGCGTGTGCCCCGTTGTGGTGTCTGTGAGCGTGATAGTTGTGCTAGGCATGGGTGCTTTATGCTTTATGTGGCGAGAGCATCGTGGCCATGTGAAATCCGGTTTGGCTTTTTCGCCTGGCGATGCGGCCCGATTGCCCGCGGCCAAAAAAACGATTTGGATTCCACGCCGCCACGAAGGTCTTCCCACACACAGCATCCATGCCTTACACAACTGTCACGCCCCGAGATATCGCAATGGAGCACAGGCTCGAAGTGGTGCCATGACGATTGGTGCGCTTGGTGAACGAGAACTGACTTGTGTCCTGCTGTTTCGCTGGCAGTTGGAAAAACACCGAACAAAAAAAGAGGCAACAGGGGGTTTCAGCACTTGTATGCGGGGGGTATGTATGACCACGAAAGCGGGATGTGGACGGGGGGGGGGGGGGGTGTACTCATAGTCGTGCATGCCGTAGTCGTTAGACCATTGACCTCGCATCCCTACAAAGCCGGGACGGAGCACGCCGGGTTCTCACCGGACCAGGCTCTCACATCACCAAGCGCGAAGCGCCGTGAGGTATTCGGCGACGGGGGGGGGTGTACTCATAGTCGTGCATGCCGTAGTCGTTTGACCATTGACCTCGCATCCCTACAAAGCCGGGACGGAGCACGCCGGGCTCTCACCGGACCAGGCTCTCACATCACCAAGCGCGAAGCGCCGTGAGGTATTTGGCGAGTCGCATGAAGGGTGAGCTGCATCCTGCTAAGGGTGTTCGGCATCTTGTGCTTACTTCCTTGCGTACGGATGACAGCTACGTATGACTTAATTTATTTTCTGGTGCTTTAACTTCCAGAGACAGTTGTAAGCACTGTGTAACTGCCTCGAGGAAGCTTGACCAATTTAACACAACGTGGTGCGATCATCCCCCGTTGCGCGGAGTGAGGTTTCTCGACCCCGCACAACATGATCTACTCGACCACCATTATGGTTACCGCCAAAAAAAAAACGAGGTAAAAGCGGTAACCTGGTTGCCGAGTTCACGAAGTGAATTGGCTTGTTTTACAAGGTGGTTGCCAAGGGAGGAAAACCCAATCCGGAGGGCAAACACGGAGGGGGGGGCCGGGGGGGGGGGGGTAACCGGTAGGTGAAAGTTAACGTTACCACAGCTCTCACACCAGCACAGCAGGTAGGTGTAGTATCAAGTGTGTCGTGTTTGCACTCTGTTTCCGCCCGTGGACGCACACGTCTGACGACAGTTACATCTATCAGCTGTCGCTCGTTGTAGCGATAGCTAGTAGTCTTTATTGTTGTCGCCGACCTAGTGTTAAGATGGAGATGGTCCAGCCCTGTCCATCGACCGATGTACTGCTTTATGTACCGGTGTACAATCTGCACTACAGCTACTGTATTAGTACAGCAGTATGACCAGTGGTACCCATCGATCGATGAAGTGCAAATCTGCAAACTACATGTACATGAAGTCTTTCAGTTCTCCACATTCGAATCGAAACTGCTATTATAGAGTTCTGTATGCATAGGTCCTGGAATGCATACAATTGATCGGAATCTTGTTTGGGCCATTATTTTATGTTGGGGTCAGAGGCGACCGCATACGTCTCGAACAACCTGGCCTTGTGACTGAACAGCCCTACGGACAGCTTTGACGTGAAAGAAGCATCTCATGCGGGACCTACGGCGAGCTTCACGGAATGTTTGAATGGTTGTGCCTGAGGTGACCACGTGCTGTCCTGCAATGCATACAACACGCAGCGTCTGGCGTGGCAGTAGAGATGCGAAGCGGTTGGTTCAACAACCTACGGCTGTACACTCCCGATGTTGTACCATAGTCTATACCTGCCACTGTTCTTGCACAAATCGACATAGCGTCAGGCAGTCCTCTTGATTGCGACTGCTGTACAGCCGTGTGGAATTTTCACGACGGCACATACTAGTTTACGTATTACAAGCTTGAGGTGAGAGGGCTCCACCTATCACCTATGCATGTACGGCGACTATTGGACGTTGACCCGTCGGCGAGCAGCAGCTGACTCACCTCTGAAGGTGAAGTCCCTTGCTTGGCGAGCAGACCATTACCATGATGGAGACCGAGAAGCGAACTGTCTGACAGAACTGCAAGATACCGGTTCTTGTTGCATGTGTATGTTATTGTCGGGAGAAGACACAAAACTAATTGTCGGTAGAGATCCTCAGTTGGTGCCGGTTGAGCGGTGGCGGGTGCTCCAGCAGTGCCGGTATAACCGCGGTAAAGCCATGGAACACAGACAGAAATACAGCTCGTGTCATGGTGCTCTGAACAGGCGCCGAGTGACCTCACCGATATTTGTGACGATACAATTCGTGGAACACATCGACGGTATTTCTCCCTCTTTTGGTGTTAGCTGCCTCCGTGCCTTCCCACGGAGGCCACCGTGCCTCCCTACGGTAGATTAGGTTGCCTCTTGTCTGGGGGCGATGAACACCCAGGACCGATGTAGATGACATCAAACCTTGATTATAGCATACACCGTGCTTATTCTAGCACACACACACAAGACGAACATTCACTGAACGCATGCGCGCGCTCTCTCTCTCTCCAGGGGCCCCGCACTTGTACCCCAACAGCGTACTCCCCCCCCCACATATTCTCCAGATCGGCCGCCGTATCCAAGTACCCCAAGATACCACAAACGATCTTGAAGTCCTTCGTGAATAATCATCCAATCAATACAAAAGCACAAATAACCACTTGAGAAGCATCCTCTGCGAAAAATGGCTGCGCATTTAACACAAAGCGACCCCACCAGTTTATTCACCACCCCAATACATTCGCCCCTAGATATAATCTGAAACCGTCAACACGAAAGAACTATCCCCAGGAAAGTACCCAACAAGTACTGCGCCACATCAGAAGAACGTCAGAACGGTCACGGACAAATCTGGGAAGACCGTTTCACAACGAAACTGCTCCCCATGCTGAAACTTTCCCCCGAAAAATATACATACATGTAGATGGGCCTGCACTTTGTTCCCCTTCTTTTCCATCGACAGCAGGTAGCAGATCTCAGAACATCGAAGGGTACGAAACAGCCTCCCAGCTGAAACATACCCTGCATGAACAAGAGAAACATCTACGCATGCGCTAGTGTTGCGTCTGGAATCATGATACATGTAGCACATTCCTCCCCCTGATTCTTGACGCAATACACAACAGAAACAGCGAACACACCAGAAACACACGCACAAAAATAGAAATTACGATTCACTTAGCATTCTTCACACAAAATCACGGTGGGAGCGAAACGCATTCTTGTGCAACGGTTTCGTGATACAGTCCGCATGTTGAAAAATCGTGGGCACGTGCACGATCTTTCCCTCCTCCCCCGCTGCACCCTCCCGAGTAAAGTGGTGGCCAATGTCGACGTGCTTCGAGTTCGGCGTGGTGACGGGGTTGACCGCTTGATACTGTACAATACCCCCCTCGTTATCTTATCCTCTGGTGTACTCCAGAGTGCACCCGACATCGCGACACGGAAAAGTAAAACTCCAAACGTGCCACAATAGAATCGCCTCCTTCAGCCCGTCACTCACTCATCGCGACACACTCTGCTTCGGTCGACGACAGCGTCACTCTCCTCTGCGTCCTACAAAGTAGCGAAACACACGAACCGTTACACATCACGTCACAATCGCCCCCGAGACTGACCGTTGGTCGCCTACTGGCGTAGTCGGAGTCAACATACAAACGCAAATCCATACCCCCCCTGGAACCCCTCTGAAAGGTGACAACAAGAGTACTCCACACCTGGCAGCTGCTGATGAAACCTAGACCCTTTGCCAGACTCTACATTCCTCCGCTGCTATTGAAACGGATGCTTGACGGGAACATGTCCACGGCAGAAAGCTTCACCTGCGTCAGGAGCGCCGTTGCAGGACTGTAGATGTTGCTGCCGTTGACGAGGCTGCTGCGGTAGAGGCTGTTGTGGCTGGTGATACTGCTGGGTCTTGGGTTGCTGCTGCACCCGTGAATGTGGCAGGAACCTCTGCTGCACGCACTGCTGCTGCTGCCGCCGCTGGTGTTTGAACCTGCAGTGCTGACGTAGATAACCTTCCTCCTCTACACAGCAGTTGCATTTTCCGTGATATTTAGGGAGGCGGTGCCATGCAGGTGTTCGCGAGGTGCCCAAGATGCCCACACCGGCTGCACGTGGGAACAGCCAACGTGGGTGACCCCTGTGTAATAGGGGTTTAGGGCTGAGGCCAGACGGCATTCCTGCCCGGGTCTGTTTGCCCAAAGGGCACAAAAGGACGTGCCGCAGCAGTAGTAATACGCTGCTGCTGCTGCGGCGCAGTGGGAGGAGCAGCGGAAGGGCGTTCGTTGGGCACCAGCTACTGCTGATGCTGATGCTGATACTGACAATGGCGTTGCCCTCTAAGGTCGGGGTTGTGGCGGCTGCTCTGCTGCACACCTCTTGTCACCTGCTGCTGGTGTCCGCCGTACACATGGGACCTCTTGCCCTCTCTCTTTTCTGTCGCTGAAATATGTTAATGTGTCAAGACCCTTCCGCCCCTGTCTATGTAGTCGCCCGGACCCACCTCCGGTATCTATTTCCTCCGCTGCCTTTCCAGCGTGAACCTCAACCGCCTTGCCAGCTTGACCATCTGCTGCCCTCCCAGCCCTCCTCGTCTTCTCCGACGCGACCCTATCCATCGCTGTCTTAAAGCCAATCTCTTTTCTCTACTGGAGCTCTTGCCGCTGCTGCTGCTCTTTCCGCAGCAGCTTTGATATTCGCCATCTTTGGTCGGACCAGCCCTTTGTCGAGATGATACATGTTGTTCGCTGCCTCCGTGCCTTTCCACGGTAGTATGGTTGTATCTTGTATCTGGGGACGATGGTATCCCAGGATCGATGTAGATGACGTAAGACCTTTGTTTTTTCACACCGTGCTCCTTTCAGCACATACGCACGCGAAAACAAGAAGACGAAGTTTCACTCAACACATGCGCGGGCTCTCTCTCTCTCTCTCTCTCTCTCTCTCGAGGGGCCCCGCACTTGGACCCCCAACAGCATCCCCCCCCCACATATACTGCAGATCGGATCTTTAACCAAGTACTCCCAACGATAGGTGTAGATCGACACGACGATCTTGAAGTTGCCTCACCAAAGTCACGCGGCGATTGGTGTAGCCGGACCGACTGCCGCCGCACACATGAACACATGGCATGGAACTGGTGAAGTGAGGCGGGATCTTGAATACGATTGTACACGGGCAAGCACTAGGTTCCAAGTGGAGGCCATTCCAGGGAAATGCGCCAGCCAGTCAGGTCGTCGCGATTATTCTCCTATAAGAGATTGACTCTGTCGGGCTAACTCGCCCCATCAACTATCTAGGGGTTATGCAGTTGTGGGTGGGTGCTTTGATGTTTCGTGTGCCGCGGCGACCGAGAACATGCTGCAGCACTCGCGGTAGAGTGGGCCAAACTTGTGGACCCGTTCCGTGCAATGGTTCAACTTCAATGCGTCTCTCGATTGATTCATGTTATTCCGTGCTATTTTCCGCTCCGTGCAGTAATGCAGTTCGGTTTCGCGGCTCTGGAAGTGGGCAGTATCCGACCGAAGAACACGAAGGCGGTGCTCTTGAAGAACACCACCGATGCTGCGATTGGGTGAGCGGGCATCCTTTCCCAACAGGGTGGATTTGAAGGCAAAGGACAAGCGGCGACAAGCGTGTCAATTTAGTGCGCCATGCAGAGGCTGGTTTGAACCACTCGTGTGTGCCCTCCCGCTTACTGCTGCACATGTTCTCATCCTGCTTGGGTACCGTCACTCAACTGTCTCTCGCGATGCCTATGCTTCACCTTTTCTTATCATGGTCATGGCGTGCTATACCATGATCGCGTCGTGTTACGTAGAAGTTGAATACTCCACCCTGCGGTTCTCGCTGGGTGAAACCGTTGATAAGTAGCAGGAAACTGATGAACCGTGTTTATGCACGTTCTTTGTTTCGTGTCAAGATTTTTGTGGGTGACCATTGCCGGTGCGCGACTGCTTTTGATGTTCCCTTTTCTCGTGCTAGACCATTCCTCCATCCCTGCAGCAGGTCGCTCTGTGTTTGTTCATGGGCACCCGTCTCCTCTCTTGCTTTCTGTACTCAAAGAAACGCTGAACATGTGAATGAAATGAAGTGAAACATTACCTTGCCGTTGCTGCTTTCTGGCAGGGCGTTAGTGTGGTGGCTTGTCGGGCACGGAGTGGCGTTCGGGGAGGGCAGGTATGCATTCGCTGCGCTGCTTTGTACTCCGAGTACGTGTGCTGTTTTTGTAGGCGGCATGAGAGCACGTTAGGGAGCGTATGTGCAAGACACGAGGATGTCGTTGATCCACACGCGTAACCTCAAACGTTGATCCATGCACGCAACCTTAACGTGCACAAATACAACAGCACCGGTATTGTCTACTACCATGACATGGTAGATTTCTGCCGCGATGGAGTTGGAGCCGCACGGAAAATTTTCCTCTCCTGCAACCACCACCCGATCGGTCACCCTTGGTCGAATTGGACATAGATCATGCCTGGGTCGCCCTCCGCCGTTTGTAACTACCGATCACGTTGGATTTCCTCGTTGTTGTTGTTGCATGTGCATGTGCATGGGCATGTGCAGCAATTTCATCGGGGAAACGCAATTCGCCTTCTCTCCAGAGCTCGATGAGGAGCGAATCGGGGAGGTCGCCCTGGAGTATGCGCGGTGGATGCTGCAGGTTGGTCTGTCTCAGGGCAAATACATATCAACACGTTGTCATGAAGAGTTTTCTAGGTCACATATTGAGCCGCATGACATCGTACACTACTATAATACCAATACCAGGGAATGCAGATAATCTCCCCGATTTGCGTCAAGATCAGTCGGATCTCTGACATGTCGCAAGGAATGCATGCTTCTGAACACTGTTTCCTCTTGGATGCGCTAAATCCTACCGGCAAATCGAGCGGCGTCTGCGTTCTCTGGGAGGCAAGGGAACCCGAGGATCTGTAGTCTACACGGAAAAGCCTTGAGTAGGCCTTCTTCACGTACGCATATACAACAGTCGGCCTTACCTACGAAAGTACGTTTGTTTGTGCGTTTCCACCACCGAACAACGCCAAGATTGCGCTTTCTAGGAATGTATATTTTCAGAACGATGCTCGAAAAGCGAATGTGTGGCGGGAGAGTGTACACCCGCCTTCCTGGAGAGGAGGGAGTTTGGCGTTTATTTCTATTTGGCCCTCCCGATCGTTACTGTATATATTTTCGTGTTTGCCATTCATGTTATGATGATTGGTCGAATCAGGTGGAAATGGCAGGTGCCACCAGTCAGACGGTTTTATGTGTTGTGGTCGTGTCCGTAACGGTTCGTGGCAAACATGTGTATTTCAAATTCGTCGAGAATGAACGTTTCCGGTAGGACGTGTTTTTTTTTCCGACACTTTTTGGAACTTCTGCCATTTGAAGAAGGTTTCCCCGCTGCCCGGACGAGTTTACGCTCTCCCTTGACACCAAATCTATCGAGTATGCCTGGTCTGCAGCATGCGGCCCAACGTTGTTTTGGTGGGGTTGAGTTGTCTCACCTCACGGGTGTGTACGGACTAAATATGATGTCTGGCGTTCCTATGTATTTTTGTTCCAGTGGGCGTTCGCAGCAACGAGCACGACCATCGTCAGCGGAGCCATCGCCGAGCGAGTCGCCTTGCACGCATGTGAGTCTGTTCGGCGCTTCACTCTTTCACTCCTGAAGTTCACTCCTTCACTCATCCAATTCATTATTTCACTCATCCAATTCATTTTTCACTCCCTGAAGTTGCTTGTTCACTCCTCGACTTCACTCTTTCACTCTACCGCGCCAGCGTTCCACTTGTCAACTTAGTACTCTTTCACTTTTCCCCCACAATTTTCACTCTATGTTCCTCCGTACTTCAGCACGGACTTCACATGTGGATTTTATTTTACTCGTTGCTTCAACTGGAGACGATTTTCGTTCATGACCATTTTCCTTCCTTCCTCCCGAACAGTGTTCTGGATGGAAGAAACGCACTAAAGCAAAGGTACCCCTGCAGACCAAACACGCCGTGGATATGCCCTTCTTGGAATCTACTTTGGCTTTTACATGTCGTGCTCCCTCCCCCGGTTGGTCTTGTTGGCTTTGCTGTCGGTGATCTCCAGTCTCCTATTATTGTCTACTTCCCCACAATTATTCGGTTTTGCCTATGCAGTCTCCGGCAGATTACATGCCGACCGTTGCACTACGGTTCATGATGCCCCTGGCCGTTTTAGATAGTACTGATCAGTACTACTCTCAGAGTACTAACATCTTCCCTGCCGTACCACCTTCTACTACTACAAGTATGGCTGTTGGTGTACTTCGTGTGTATGGCTACGGTCTTTCGGTCAGCCCTGGTGTATCGTTTGTGTCATTCGGCTGTCTATTACCTTATCTTCCTTCTTGTTATCCAAGCATGTCCCTGCAAACTGCTACGCTGTCCTGCCAACTCTACCCCTTCGCCCCCGCTCTTACCCTATGCTGACCAGACTTGATATACGGAGTCATCATCACTTCCTTGATATACCCCGTTGTGGCCCACTGGGTGTGGGCCCGAAGCGGGTGGGCGAGCTCGTTTAGGGCCGACGGGGATCTGCTGGTTGGCTGCGGCGTGGCTGATTTCTCAGGGTCTGGGGTAGTCCACCTGACAGGTACACAGATAAGTCTCTCTTTCGACTTTTCCGCTAACTATCCGATCCTGTTCAATGACAGCCTGCCCACTCTGGGTAGTACCATGTTGTTCTCTTGCCGCCCATCGCATGCGTAGGAGCGCCTCGTAGCCCGCTTGCGGGCGCGCGAAACCTGCACCGGTGTAGCGGGATGCAAGGCCGGAGACCCTTCGGCTTTCGGCTGACGAAGGGCTGTATAGGATAGGTTGTATACATTGTGCGGGATAGGTTGTATATATTGTGCGGACGGTTGTTTCCGCACTCATACTTGTTGGCATATTCCCCTAACCCTGAAGATACGGTTTCGCAAGTCACCCTACGGTTTCGCAAGTCACCCTCGAGGTGCAACAGTAACAATGACTGGCAGGGGCGTCGTCGAGATTGGTTGGAATGGATCAATCCTCTTGCGCTGTGTATTATTTTAGCCTCAACCGAGATCGCCCACAGCAGCGTTTGCTACATTTTGGAGGTTGCGGGTTGCTTTGCATGGCCCAAAGACCAGGCCAATGCCTGCCCGATCGTTTGTCGAGCTTGTTTTAGGTACATTAAGGCTTGCCTTCGAGACTTGAAAGCTACATTGATCCCGATCCCCGTCTGCCCTTGAGAAAGCGAGATACCAGTTTGCTTCTTCAATGTGCAACATCCAGGACGGGTGTCAATACATTGTACATGTACATAGCTCTGGTAAACAATCCCATCGCCGCATTGTGGTTTTTAGCGGCAGCGTCGCTGTGCGCCAACGTGCCCCTAAACCCCTCTCCTCCATTCATTCCTGGTTGCAACCCTGCCTGCCCTTGTTGCCACCTGCCCTTGTCATTGTTGCAGGGGGGTTGATGGCGCTAGTTGCGGCGTTCTGCGTACACCCCCGGGGAGGCAGGTTTGATGCGGAGGGTAAACCCCGTCGCTTGGAGAGACAGAGTCCTGCTCTGAACGTGCTGGGGACGCTGATACTGTGGGCGGGCTGGTTTTTCTTCAACGCCTCTGGGGTGGCGTCATTTAGCAGGCAGCCCGATGATGTGAGAAGGAGCTTTCGTCAGGCCCCACGGTAGATGTTGATGGTGTTCCTGTACGCAGAAATCGATGGCATGAAGATTGGGTACCACGCTGTGGAGAAAAGCCTACCGATGGATGTTGTCACGCTCCTGTTGCTACTCAGAGGTCCATGGCTGTACCACCTTGTGCAGGAAAACTTGTCGACTCTGCCGCAGCCGCTAGACAAGATCAGTTTTGGGTCCAGGTATTTTTTGTGCATGTGGTGTGTGGTTCGCCGGGTTGTCTGGTGCCGGCGATTTCGCCCGTAGTATGGATGTTCTGTGGTTCCAACGGTACAACAGGGCCGCCCGCTGTCGTTCCTTCCGCCTTGCTGCGTGCTGCTTCACACCTACCACGCTACAAAGTAGCCGTCTCTGTTCTGCATTACTCACGGCTGTTTTTTTTTTTTTTTTTTCGTGCCCGTGCGCTAAATACTGGTACAGGCGGCGAAATCTATGCTGAACACGGCGGTGTGCCCTTCGGCAGCCGTGGTTGTGACGATGCTCATTCACTGGATGTACCACCGCAGGTGGGGGGGCATATCCGTCTAGACGTTGACCCGACTCCCCTGTGCCCTGCGTCGTTTGCTATTTATATTAATGTGATCGCTGGCTTGACACTCCCAAGCGATGTACTTGTAGCAGGTAGTGCCCTCGACCGATGCCATGCCCATACCATGTTCATGTGCTTTACGGCAGTAGCCTCAAGGCTATCCACAGTAGGGAACGCATGCTGTGACCGCGCCCCGCGTAGGGGGCTGGCTGAAGTGCCGCGGAAGCACGAGTGTGCTGAATTTCGTGCCAGGTGCCCTGCTCCGGCAACGACTCTATTTGCCTCGCGTTGTCTGTGTATGTTAGTTGCTAGTGCTGACACCAGGCGGTAGGCTGGTTGGCTCCGAGATTGACCATTATTTCTAAACTTTTGGTGCGGGGTTTTCGATGGAAATCCCGCCTCCTCCCTTCCTCGGCGACACACAGGGTGGCCGTGTCCATGTCTAGCTGCCAGCTTACGTTGCGGGCGCCACCTCCGGGCATGTACTTGGACGTATGTATTGTAGGTTGTGCTATTTTGAAGCCTACCCGCTGCCCTGCATTCGTCTTTCAGCGATGGCATGCTTCCCCCCTCGACGCGTGCTGTGACCTGCTCGTCGAAGAACGGCAAAACGCTATCCTAGTTGCTGGTAGCAATGTTGGTGGCGATGCTGCAAGTGCGACTTCACACCTCACGGTGCGCCTTCACTGACGCAGCGCCCCCGACGTAAAATATACCCGCCCGGCGTTGAACTGTTTCAGCTTCGACCCGTTCATGGCAACGAATGGCATGCTGGGAGGCCTCGTTGCGATCACCGCCTCATCCCCTTTGGTGCAAGCGGAGGGGGCGTTTGTCATCGGTGTTGTGTCCGGAGCGCTGGTGTTTTACGGCAGCAAGCTCTTGCTAAAGTTCAAGGTAATGACTTCGCCTTAAGAAGCAATATCCAACTGCCATTGCTCGGCCTTTTGTGCTAGTTCACGGTGTTTGTATCCACTCCATGCATCATTTTTGTCGAGGGCGTGGCTTGAGGTTTTTGGTTTGTTGGTGTAGTGCCCCGTTCCATGGTTGAGTGAGAATCCGCTTTCCATGCTCTTTAATTGTGCCTTCATTCATGCTCTTGAAAGCAACTGGAATCAGCGAAGGATCCCTCCCTCTCACTGGCAAGACAAGCACGGGGCTGTGAGGGAGGGTGAACGCACACTCGGTGCTTTTGGTGGCAAGGCACTCATCAATTCATACAGTAGAGGGTCATCAACCAATTCCAGCGTTCTCATTGGCAGTGGCTGAATAGAGACAAGGCGATCGGTCTTTCCTGGGTGTAACGTCTCGGCTGTTTTGCTGTGGCCAGATCGATGACGTGGTGGACGCGAGCGTGGTGCATGGGCTGTGCGGGCTGTGGGGCATGGTAGCGACGGGCCTGTTTACCACCAGGCTAGGCTACGCAAGAGCCTACGCCGAGGTACGCACGCACAACCAGCAAGGCCTACTACATTTTCTTGTCGCCCGAACGGGGTCTTGGCTGCTTTTGGAGTCGGGGCGAGGGCGAGGCTTGTTGTATGACCGGGCAGACGTGTTTTTTGCTATCCTCTTGTGCCTGAAAGTGGTGCCCAGTCTGACGCGACACAGACACGACCGGTTAGACATTTTCGAATGTTAGCCTAAGCATCAACCCGCCATATTCGCAGCGGCTTTCGCTTTATCTGGTTGCAGTCGGTGCTTTTGCCGGTGACGTGTGGTTCTGTGGTACTCGGTTCTAGCTCTCACGCAAGGCGAACACCAGATACATATGATGAGTGAACACAAGGAAGGTCCGCGGCGCTACCCCTGAAAACCTGACGTATGCATTTCACTACACGACATGTCCGATCGAAGAGCGCTTGCTCGCCGGCTTGGTGTTGGAGACCGACCAGCCTCTGGTTGATCTTTTGCGGTCCTCTTCCCTCCAACCTCATTCCTCACCCCTCGCGCTGTGCCTGTACTGCTGTACATGCGTTGCTGCCGATGGTGACCGGCGGTTCGTCTCTGCCATCCCTCATCAATTCGGCGGGTAATCCGATGGTAGGACCGAGCTGACGAGTGCTGCGGAGTGTTCTACGGCTGTTCTGGCAGCCTTCTAGGTGAGAGTCGGTGCTGCCCACTTGGGATGTTCTTGTTGATATATATTTTTTTCCATGTCTACTTCTCGCCGAGGGTGCCCTGCGCCTTTCATGAACAGAAAGCTGGTCTCGCCTGCCTTTTGGCTTTGAGACAAAACTAACCCTAACCCCAGCCCTAACAAACCTAACCCTGCCGTGCCACGATATTAATTCTTGCACACGCCCGACTCTCGTTCTAGGACGGCGACCTTGGTGCCCGTGCAACCAACCCGTTGATTGGGGATTGGGGTAGGCGAGAAGTCTCACCGAGAAAAGTACTCGCACTGCTTTAACCTCGTCGTAGCGGACAGTTTCGTGATTCCAAAGCGTGTTGGTTTCAAGGTGACCATTCTTTTGCGCTGAAATTCTTAAGGGTGTCCCGCCCATACCGGTTGCCGAATGACAACGTCGGTTTTGCACGGTTGACCAGTGAAAAAACGTCAGTTTTGCAATGATGTAACAACACGATCACTCCATTATTGTCAAAGGTAAGGTAGGTAAGGCAAGGTTTCTACCGGGGGAACGCAGGAGTTGGACGAAAGTTCTGCTCCATCATCTCGTTCTCCCATGCCAGCATCATCGCCCTGTGTACTGGGTGGTGTGTGCATGCGTGTTTTTAGCATCGACCGCGTAAACCGGCTAACGAATGAAAAAACGTCAGTCTCAGTGCGGCTGAAAACACAAAACACTTCAAAATGACGTTAACTGAGACCCCGTGAGGGGGAGACTAATCTATTCTTCGGATCAAAGACGGAAACGGTAGCAACAGAAGAAAACTGCAAACGTCTACGAAGGCTGCTACTTTGCACTCGAGTTCGTTTTGGAGTGCTTTCACCACCATCCTCCGTGCTTTCACAACCCCATCGTTCTCATTATCGTGTGTGTGTGTGTGTGTTGTGCTTCGCTGCAGCGGCGAACATGATCTTCGTGTTGGCACAAGTGGCATGGGTTGGTGGCACAGCGGTGGTGCTCTTCCTCGGCATCAAGTACTCGCTAGGCCTAAGAGTCAACACTATCACGGAAGAGGTGAGCACTACCACGCTACCAGACTATCAGACAAGACTAGCACACTATCAAACCATCGGGCGCCAAGACCTTATGAACCGCACGTGGTGAAGTGAGTACCGGACGATGAACCGACCTACTCAAGGGAGCGAGCGGCCTTGTTTTGGGTTCATTCCCTCGATGAACAGATCAGCAGATGAATTGCTCAATATGCCTGTTGCCTTCGAAGTAGACTCCGCCAGACGACGAGAAAATCGTTTTTTCCATTCCCGGTGTGACTTTCCGTTCGACGTAATGCAATCCTGGAAGACTCAACCCATCGGAAGAAGAAAACGAAGACACGCTGGCACTTCTCACCACCCTCATCACGAACACATCATGAGATGGGGTGCGCCTAGCTCACCAACAATTTGGTTACCATGGACATTTAAGCCTCGCGCACTATGGCATAATGGCGACCGGTGTCTTGCATCTCGGCAGTGTGAAGAACACCTGTGACCCTGGTATTCGGTGTAACATCCTGCTGCCGTGAGCAGAACACATGGTTGATGGCGAATAAACCGGAATTAATACGTGGGGGATCAGCTATTAATAGTAGCATCTGGGGTGCGGTAGCGGACTGGCATGTATCGGCAGGAACGGACGCCTCGCTCTTTACTTTGCCACTTCCGCTGATGGCATGTAGTATCTATGATCCGTATGCTGTGGACACACGTTGTTGGTGTTGATTGCTGGATGGATACTCAAACCCGCGTGCAAGGCTTTGGCTCCCCTCTCTTCGCAGCGGCTCACTTTTGTGGTCCTATTGACGGGTGGATCCTCTCTTCCATCTCGAGTAGGTGTGGTGTACACGGTCGTCCCAAACGTGCCCTTGTCCATGCTACGACACCACTGTACTGTGTCGGCGGGACGTATCGCAGCCAACGGCTGGATGCATTCCCCCCCTTATGCTAACGGCAATATGCAACAGTGGTACCACATGGCAGGACTTGATCGCCTTATTCGCCGGCCAACACAGCAAGACATTTTTTCTATCGACTGCGTTTTGAGTATCTCCCCATCACTTTTGTCGCTCTTTGGGCCCTCTCGACGCTTTTTTTTGCGACGACTGACTCCTCTCTCACGTGTTCAACGAATCCCGGGCCTATGTCTATAACACGTGCCCGGCGTTTTCAGGAGGGGATGGATAAGACAAGACATGGGGGTTACCATGGAGGTGCTACGACCATGGGCAGTACCCCTGGTGCAGCGATGGAGGCTGTACGTCGACTAAGCGGAACGGACCAAAGACAATCCGCGGTGGCGTTGGCTTCCACCAGCAATGTCCTAGCGTAAGGCAATCACCGACGTACGAACGCTGGGGAAGTTTTTTGGGCAACCCATAAGCAGCTCGCCGCCCGGTTCTCACGCAGTGAACCGTTGCGGTGTGACCTCTTTACACCGCGACGCCGAGTTATTACAATACTTGCCGGATGTACACGGCTGTTGTAGCCTCCCCCGAACCCCATGATGTTGGTCATGGCTCTGGATGTAATGCGGGACGCATCTTGGTTGCGTGTTTGGATGTTTCTGTCGGCTGCTATAGTCTGTCGGCTGCTAGGCCCGGTCTGTTTTGTCCTTTTTCGAGGGCGTTGTGTCTTTTGTGACTTTAGAAGGGGAGTCGTGCACAGTTTTCAAAGGTCGCGACTTTCAGGCACGAGGTATTCGCTGGGTGCGCGAACTAGCGGTGTCTGCGAAATGTAACCGATGGACTCTTCTCTGTAAATAGTTCCACTTCAACCTTTGTTGCATACAACCTACAAGCACATGTTAACCTGCTGCTTGCTGCATTGTTTCCGTTGCAGTTGTCTTGGATTTTTTGTCTCCAAACGGTTTTGTTGATCGTGATGTCCATTCTACAACTGTCGGATGTGTCGGCCTGCCGTGACATATTTAGGCAGGAAGAACACCACATACCAGCATGCTGTGGGAAGTACTTGTGTTCTTCGCGCTTGACAGGTGTGCTATTGCCCACCACGTACACACGGTGTGCTAGATTGCTGTGTCTCTCAAGGGCGAATTCTTCCGTGAAGGAAGTCCCTTCGATTTGATTGCTGTGGCGATGCTCGCTCGTTTGCAAAGAGCGCCGGGCTCGACGTAGGCAGCGAAATCATCACTTCGCCGCATCACAATTGTTTGCTTGATGTGGATGAAACCCATCCTCGTACACGTACCAAGTTCATGCTGTGGACGTCATTCTCGGAAGTGAGCAGCCAAACGCCGAGACAGACGACTTATGATGAGTGTTATGCGTTTGCGCAGGGCGGTGTCTGTTTCGAACCTGTGTCTATGTCTCGTTGCTACTTGTGAAAATTGGGGTGGTCTGTGTTCAACAGTCAACCCCATGGTTTCCATCTACACGCCGGTGGGTTGCTCGCCTTCCCTACCGTTTCTCCGCGTTCTTGTATTTTTATTCTTCGTTTTCAGTCGTAAGTTTTGAAAGACATTCTGGGTTTCATTCCGACTTGTTGGACGTGGCGAGAGGTTCGTGCGCGGCCGTACGCAAAGCACTCGGTTTACGAGGTATTCGTATTCATCCAGCTCACGCGACTCATTCCCACTTTGGTGCTGCTGGCCGCTGCCCTCTTGAGTCTCGTCACCATATCCTTGGTCGTTGACGAATTCTTTCTGCTGCGACCCTCTTTGTCTTGGAAGCACTGCTGTAAGTGGATCCACCGATCGATATTGTGCAGTGCGTCAGTTTCAAGTTGCAGTCATTTCGTCTACTCGGCGTCGCATGCGATGGGCATGTTCGTGTTCTGGGTTCTTGTGTATTCTATTCTAGCCAGTATTTTTTGGTCTACGCGGTAATCATGTACATAGGTTGTACAGGATCGATCGAAGAAATGACCCGCGCCGCAGGCTAGATTTGTTCTTTTTTAGAAAGGGGGAGCTCAAGACCTGGAGCGTAGATGTTTTTCTTCTTGGGAATGATTAGCCCTCCATGTCCCACACACCGCTCGTTCTCTCTGTGCTGTGCGCTGTGTGCTGTTGTGCGCTGTGTTCGCTGTATGTTGCTACGATCGCGAGAAGTATGTGCACCTGCTATGGCCCCCTTTCAGATGTATGTGTCCCACCATCGACGGTAGGCAAGTCCCCACCTGTTGTGCGGACGGCCTCAGGTGATGGTGAAGCATCCCGTAAGCGCTGTTCAAAAGGCAGACATACGAACGATGTGCCGAAAAATGGCGGCGTTGGCACCGTCTCGTGAAGAACTTCCCGAAAACGCACAAGACTGCAGAGACAAAGGCGTTGGAATCTGAGCATTGTGAGGAGCCAAAGAAGATAACACACCGATGGTCCATTCATAAGGCAACACGGAGCATCGGAAGTGATACCTATAATGCTGTCCACGGGGGGTATAGCTATGTAGATTTTGCGATTACATGCTTTGGTACGGACTCGCACTCACCAATTCGCTGAAGTTCGTCCCGGACAAAATAATCGGATCGAGAGAAATAATGGAACACACGTCGTATCTACTTGGGGACGAAAGTGTCCGTGTCCGTGAGGGTAACTGTCGTGGCTCACAGCGCGCTTACCCATTTCCGTTCTGAAATTGTGATGAAGCACTTTTCTGAGCCGTGCCAACATAGTGCCAGTCGTTGTAGGCAAACGACTCCCTGTACATCGAGTTTGGCGTGGTGGAACAACTATGGCCAATCTGACCGACCGGACTTTGAGCCACCGAGCCCCCGTGGGTATGTGTTTCTCTGCACCCACTGCTTATGATAGCTGTGAGCCGTGCCAACAGAATGCTAGTCTTCGCAGGGCAAACGACGCCCTGAACATAGAGTTTGGCCTGGTGGAGCAGCTATGTCTGATCTGCTCCACCGGCCTTTGATCCACCGAGCCGCCGTGGGTGGGAATTTCTCCGCGTCTGCCAATCCAAATGACGTCCTCGAGCTTGGTTGATAACTGTGGGCCGCTCCAACACAATGCAAACAGGGTAAAAGACGCCCTGTATACAGAGTTTGGCCTGGTGGAGCAGATATAGCCGATCTGCTCCACTCCACCGCCCTTTGAACCACCAAGCGCCCGTGGGTGGACATTTGTTTGCAACCCACCACAGCAGTAAGGTGTTCATTTTATCATTTCACATAATTAAACCGAGAGTCATTGCTAACTTGGTTCGGGATGTGAGAGGCCACCCAAAAGAGGGGCCACTACAGTACGCCTATCTACCTTTCTATCTACTGTACTATATGTACCCAGGAATGTTCCAGGAAGTCGCACTCCGACATGGAGAACGCATGTCCTCGGAAATCGGACATGGTAATCAAGGTTTAGAAAAGAGGAGACAGACGCACCAACCGTCAAACTAAATAGGCTGACACCCAACAAAAAAAGCAAGCAAACGATGCTCCCACTTCGCGAAACAGCTGCAGCGGGACTACTGTAACCGCGTCTACACTGGGCTACAGTATTTAGCCGCGAAATCGATTCGACAACTAAACGGGAACGGCCAACAAGCAGGACCAATCGCGAGTAAAGTACACGCTAGGCACAAATCATCTCAACCCATAAACGAGCACGGCCCGCAACCACAGGTTATTCTTCGTTCCAGCAGCCCCGCACCTTCCGGCGCTCTGTGTCCCCCTCGCCGAGGCTCAGGATTCCGTTTCTCATGGGCTCTATCATGAGGAGCTGGTGCAGGCACCTGATGACGTAGCAGATGCTACCAAAGTTGCGTTGCGTTACCCCACACGTCCGGCGCGGGCTGGAAAGGCTGTTGGTAAACTCGTGGCTTCTGGGGAAAAGATGTTGTATTGATGAGACCTTGGATCAGGAGAACAGGTCAAAAGATGGAGTGAGCAAGGGTGGGGCGAGCACCGCAGCACCGCAGCACCACCCGTCGCTCGACCAACGGACGAAAGCAGAACACAATATCGGAACACAATAATATCGGAACACAACGACTCAACAGGGGCCAACGTATTTCACAACGTACCATGAATCCTCTGGTTGATGCACTATCCATAAAGAACACACTCGGGGAAATGCACCATCCACGAGGAACATTCCTACAGAACGTTCCTTGCTGTTCTGATAATATGTGGCTACTCAGCGATCTGCAATGTCGACAGTCCCTCAATTCAAACTGTCCAATCATATTGTGCTACGTTACTCTGTCGACACACACAGCAGCAACTATCACGAACACCCTCCCTTGGGGCTGTTGTCTTCGACCAGATCAAATATACAACAGAAAAACAACAAACAAAAAGAAAACACGACTCAGACCTCTACTTCTCAGATCTCGAGCCTAGAGCAAAATTACGATGAACTTCAAAAAGATCTCTCGGCAGCGCCTTCGTCAGGATGTCCGCATGGTGTCTTTCGCTAGAGACATACTGTCTGTCAAATTCCTAAGAAAATGGTGCCTCATGTCATGTGCTTACTGTTACACGAACTAAGTGGATTGTCAGCAAGTGCAATCGCACCCTCGTTATCCTCGCGTACCTGGATCTTACCAATCTTCTCACTAGGCCTCAAGAACTCGAGCATTCCGTTGACAAACAGAGCCTCTTTCACACCGTCACCCATCGCAACATACTCTGCTTCAGTGGTTGGAAGTGTGACACATTTCTGCGTCCTAGAAATCCAAGCAACAAGACAGTCAGCTACAAGAACTAGTGCTCCCGAAACTGATCTACGGTCAGTGGCCTTACTGGCGAAGTCTGCGTCTACGTACACCAACGTGCCTACGTCTACCATAGTGTCCTGCTTGTACTTCAAAGTTAGATGTGCCGTCTCCAGAAGATAATTCAGAATCTTCTGGGCCGCCTTCCAGTGGCTCTTCTTTGGCTCGTGAGAGTGCCTCGCCACCGCCCGCACAGCATTTGAGATGTCGGGCCTTGTCTGGTTGGCGATCCACATCAGGCTCCCCACCACCTCTCGGAACGGCACATCCCCTGCCGCCTCATCCTCCATCACGGACCTGTAATCACTAACAGGGGAAGCAGGGATCGAGCTGGTGCGACAAACATTGAATCTCTCGAGAACACTCCCGATGTAACTCTCTTGAGACATCTCAATCGTACCAGCCTTGCGGTCGCGAACGAATGCGCAACCAAGAAAGAACTTGACCTCGCCCAAATTCTTCGTGGGGAGAGAGTCACCTAGCGGTTCCACAACCATCTTGGCAAGCCTCTCAATTCCTGCATACAGAATGTCATCCACATGAATCGCAATCATACCCAACACCTCGTCTCCCATCATGAAACGAAGAACGCAGGGGTCAGACAGAGACTGTTCGAAACCAATCCTCTTCAGGTCCGACACAAGTCTCTTGTGAAATGTTCTAGATGCCTGTCTCAGTCCTAACCCTAACCCAAACTCTTGTCTAAACGGACTACCTGTCCTGTCACCGACTCACAGCCAGGAGGCAACTTCATGAACACCTCGTGATCCAATTCCGACTGAACAAACGCTTGCTCAATGTTAAAGTGAAGAAATTCCAAATCATACTTGCACGCCAATGCTACCAACAAACGAATCGATGCAGCATTTGCAGTAGGCGAGAAAGTCTCAAGATAATCCACACCATGCTTCTGCTTGAAGCCCTTCGCTACAAGCCTAGCCTTGGCCTTCACTATCTTGCCTGTTTCATCTGCTTTCCATTTGTAGACCCATCTAGCATCTATCACGTTACAGCCTATCGGAGCCTTTACTGCTAACGCAAACGTTCCTGCTCTTAACAACCCTTCAAATTCTACAGACATGGCTTCGTCCCAAATCGTGGAATACTTTGATTGGCGGGCTTCTTGATAGCTACCCGGGTCTGACTCTAATTAGTACTTTCGGCAATTCCATTGCATCAGATGCTCTCTGTTCCACTAAGAGTGCAATGTTGTAACTAGCAAGCTCATGCCGCGCACGACGATTGGATGGTACGTGCGTAGCAGGGGGAACTGCCTCCGATTGTACCTCCTGCCCTCCCGGCTCAACCAATTCTTGATCCAAACCTTCCTGACTCTCCGACTCTACCTCCTGCCTTCCCGGACCCGCCGATTCTGTCTGCCCTGTCTCCGGCCCTCCCTGCCCTCCCTCATCGGAGAACTCGTCTGCTGGAGAAGACACAGGGGGAGCTGCGCTACTAGGGGAATTAATCGCGGGCGAAGATGGCATAGAGGGGGGTTGACCTACACTGCCTGCATCAACACTGCCAACCTCATCCATTGTTCCACCAGAGACATCACGTCGCAAAAGAATGTGGGGAACTCCTCTCCCTAAAAGCGGCCATACCTCAGCTTCTACATCGTCGTCACGTTCCTCCCCTCCCTGCTCTGCAACCTCTATCGGCAAGAGAGACGATTGCGGTGGAGGGAGTTGTGACGGCAACGCTTCCCATGTCACATTCCTCGTTTCCTGAATAGTTCCAGCCCTCGTAAATACTCTATGACAGTCACGCGGGTGGTCTCTCGAAGGACCGACATAAAAGCAAGCTTCACCCTTGGTAGCAGCTTAAACGGACGCTGCCACCTACAGTACGCCGGTTTCAAAAACGGATACGGTCTAGCATGACTAGCTTCACCATGCCACATCTCATACGGTGACTTACTGTCGGGGTTAGCGGAACA